CTAATTTCGTGGTTTAGATGTTCAGCCCCAGGTCCTTTATGTTCCACATTTGCATCAAAGTATAATGTAGTGAGTGGTGTGAGAAAGTGAAAGGTCTTTAATCTCGATGGTCTTTAATCTCTTTGACCACCTTTCAGCTTTAAAACGGTCAGGCTTTAATCATTTTTAATGGCAGGATCTGGGTGTATGTTCAGGCCAATCATGGTAGAGCATCTCCATGTCTACAGAAAAAAAACAAATAGAACCTGAAATCATTTTTAAGTTGCTGTTGATGTTTTAAACTCCGACCCCTTTCAGGCTTTTCAGTGCGCCCCTTCTATTAGTTTCACAAAACAGAGAGAATCGGGGGTCTGCAATGCATTCAGTGATCTTGAGTGTCCTTCTTACAAAATAAACTCTGCTGCTCTTTCTGTGGCCTTTAAGAATTGTATCATAAAAGATGGTCCGAGTGACTTGATCAGAATCAGGGGTCTGCAATTCTTTCAATGACCTTGAGTGTCCTGCTTAGAAATAAGCTCTTTCTGTGGCCTTTATGAAAGAGTGTTATAAAAGATGGTTCAAGTGGCTCAGTCACCCCCGCCGGCAGCAATCCAAACCCCGCATAGCACTCGGATTGATGATGCCATTTCGTCTCATTCATTTATTTATGAAGTTCTTCATTTTACACTTTAAAGAGAGAGAGCCCAACACAGCTACTTCACCTGATCCATACACCTCTGGCGTTGGGTCTTATCCACTGATTTACAGTTTTCACTTGGATGATGCCTTTGATGATGGTGCTGGGGAGGGGGGGGGGCAGCTTTTCAGTCAGATTTCCTTGTCAGATTTCAAAGTAATATTAAGTGTTAGCTCTACTACATACAAATAGAATTCATTCAGTATGAAATTTCAGAAGTTGATTAAGGGACTATCAGTAAATAAATACTGGAATTAATTGTTTTTTCACTCTTGACGCCTTTCCAATAAAAACGTTTACATTTTTAACACTGGGAAGAAGTTGGTAATCCATTATGAATGAAGTTTTAGTGCACAGAAGATGATTAAAGTATTCATGTCAGCTTGGTGCAGTGATGCGTGGGTTCTCGGTGAAAGATCTTTGCTTGTGGTTTTATAAAGAGATTTTGATGTGGCTTTTCATGACAAGAGTTTGATCCATGGAAAGTTTTATAAATAAACCCTCAGAAAACACGGAAGCAGCCTGTCAACAAGACTGTGTAGAGAGCTAGCATGTTGCAGTCAGCTTGGGGATCTGAACCCAAAAGTTCATGAGAAGAGAGCTGCTTTTTGCTTCCATTTCAGAAAGTCTGATACTTAAAAGGCTGGAACAGTCAGATGTGTGAGCCTTTGGAAAAGAGTCTTGGAAAATCTCGTCAGGGAGTAAATAAAATTGGTAAAGTTCTGCTAGGATGTACTGTAATTGAGTGTGAAGAGCACCTGATCTCAGGGTGTGAGGAACACCTGATCTCAGGGTGTGAGGAGAGGAGCACCTGCTCACAGGGTGTGAGGAGAGGAGCACCTGCTCACAGGGTGTGAGGAGCACCTGATCTCAGGGTGTGAGGAGCGGAGCACCTGATCTCAGCGTGTGAGGAGTGGAGCACCTGATCTCAGGGTGTGAGGAGAGGAGCACCTGATCTCAGCGTGTGAGGAGTGGAGCACCTGCTCACAGGGTGTGAGGAGAGGAGCACCTGCTCACAGGGTGTGAGGAGCACCTGATCTCAGCGTGTGAGGAGCACCTGATCTCAGGGTGTGAGGAGCACCTGATCTCAGGGCGTGAGAAGCACCTGCTCACAGGGTGTGAGGAGCACCTGATCTCGGCGTGTGAGGAGTGGAGCACCTGATCTCAGGGTGTGAGGAGTGGAGCACCTGATCTCAGGGTGTGAGGAGTGGAGCACCTGATCTCAGCGTGTGTGGAGTGGAGCACCTGATCTCAGGGTGTTGCTAAGCTGTAGCTCAGCTGAAGTAGCATGTATTTCACTCTCTTGTGAAGCTTCCAGAATGACTGACACTCAGGAGGATCCACTTTAACATGCATCATGTGGAGCACATTTGTAGGCTGTGTCTTTGGGACAGAATCCTGTCTCCCTCTGTCTGTGTCTTTGGGACAGGATCCTGTCTCCCTCTGTCTGTGTCTTTGGGACAGGATCCTGTCTCCCTCTGTCTGTGTCTTTGGGACAGGATCCTGTCTCCCTCTGGCTGTGTCTTTGGGACAGGATCCTGTCTCCCTCTGACTGTGTCTTTGGGACAGGATCCTGTCTCCCTCTGGCTGTGTCAGGGTCCTGCTTATAAATACCAATATTACATTTCCCAAAAACAAGTTAGTTTTGTTAGTTTCAGAATTGACCTCCTTAAGATTCACTTCTGCTCTTATCTTTCTGCTGAAGGGATTATAATGGCTCTAGCACTGGAATAACACCCCAATAAATTTTAACATATGACAGACATGGGGGCCGCTAAATAAGACCTGTGTCTCCGATGGGGACTTTATAAGGATGCTTATTACTTGGGGTTACCCTCAAACAAAGGAATCATATCCCAGTTCTGTGGTAAAACTGTCTCCTTGTGTCTTACTCTGGTCTGACCTGACTTGTTTAATAGGATTTCCTTGTACTCATTAATTATTAAAAAGGTGCATGTGTGTATGTGTATATATTATGTATTAATGGGACACCAGAAAAACCTTACAGCTCAAAACGAAGCCTGCTAAGCTAACGTAATGCTAGCATACATCCTCCCATTCAGTCCTTGGCCATAAGTGTTTATCAGGTTCTATGTCACAGTGTAAATGAATTTGGCTGCATTTAAGATTGCGACTATAGTTGTTAACTGTATTCAACCACCAAGTCCGGAGATATTGTGACAGAAGCTTCTTCTGGTTTCTGGAGCGGTGTTTATATACATCATGTACTTGTGTGCATGAGTTTCCGGCCAACCTCATGCAAACTTCACGTGGACTTAATTTTCTCTTCATTCTATGTTGCTATACTAGGTTTGTGTTTTTTAACAGTTATTTGACATACATCATCTCTGTGATAGGCTGGCATTCTGACTGGGCTGTTCCCCTGCCATGTGCCCTGTGATAGGCTGGCATCCTCACTGGGCTGTCCCCTGCCTTGCGCCCTATGATAGGCTGGCATCCTGACTGGGCTGTTCCCCTGCCATGTGCCCTGTGATAGGCTGGCATCCTGACTGGGCTGTCCCCTGCCTTGTGCCCTGTGATAGGCTGGCATCCTCACTGGGCTATCCCCTGCCATGTGCCCTGTGATAGGCTTTTAAATAGCCAGCGAATGTTCACCTGGCTCTGAGAATTGGGGTAAGGCAGCAAAGGGCAGATGCACTGGTAGCTGCAGGCTGCGGTTTGATTGGCCCCTGACTGTGTCTAATTGGGGGCAGCTGGTGGAGGTAGATCAGCAGAAAGGATCACTTTACTCCCTACGGACCTGGTGAGGCACAGATGGAAGCTGCTCCACGGGCATTTCAGTAGCGTGCAGGCGAATCACAACCGGCCCCGTCTGCAGTGTGGAAGGATCTGCTGTGGTCACACTGCAGGGCCACCGGCTTTGGGAAAGCTGTGAGCAGGATGGGGGTGGCTATAGTTAGTACCCCGAGCAAGGCTATTAAAGCTCAGTGTGGTTTTTCCTTGCTTTATGTCCGTAGCTTCCTGGATAAATTTGGTTAAATTTGCAGATGACACCAAGGTGAGTGGTGTAGCAGATACTGATCTAGCAGCACAGAGGCTACAATGGGATCTTGATTTTATTAGCGACTGGCAGATGAAATTCAACATAGATAAATGTAAGGCTTTAAAGGAAGCTTTATCTTTGTAGTAAAAACAGCTTACTTTCACCTCCGTAACGTCGCCCGTATCAGGCCATACCTTTCAAACTCTGCTGCCGAGTCCCTCATTTCATGCCTTTATCTCTAGCCGTCTTCACTACTGCAACTCACTACTCGCTGGTATCTCCGCTAAATCTCTTCATAAACTTCAGATAGTTCAGAACCCTGCTGCCCCCCTCCTTACCCACACTCGTTCCCATCAGCACATCACACCCGTTCTGCAGAGCCTGCACTGGCTCCCTATAAAAGAGCGTATTCATTTCAAAATACTGCTCCTGACATTTAAGGCTCTTAATAATCAAGGTCCCCCATATCTTACTGATTTCCTTCTACCCTACCAGCCTCCCCGCAGTCTTAGATCTTCCTCTACTGGCTCTTTCCTCATCCCCCCTTCCAAATTACATAGCTATGGTGACCGTACATTCTCCCATTTAGCTCCCCGCCTTTGGAACTCACTACCTACTAGCATCCGTTTATCGACCTCTGTTTCAGATTTTAAAACCAAGCTAAAAACCTTTCTTTTTGCTCAGGCATTCAATCTTCCGTATGCATAATGTGTATTTGTGTAATCTGTTTTCTGTGTACAGTACTTACTCTGTAAGGCGACTTTGAATTCTTGTAAAAGCGCTATATAAATAAAATGTATTATTATTATTATTATTAAAATTCACAGCTCAGAAACTGAACTGAAGACTTTAGGAGTTTGTTTGTTCCACTGCAGTGTTTATTATCTGTTTAACTGTTTATCATGTTTTTAAAAGTAACTGTTTATGATCTCCGACCATATTTACCAAGATAATAGGGGGGCGTATGTGGCTCAGGTGGGGTAGGCTGAGCCTGTAATCAGGAGGTCACGGGTTCAAATCCTGTGTTTGACAGGGTGGTCCTATCTGCACTGGGTCATCAACCCCCTGAAAAATGCACTCAGCCACCAAGGTCATTTTCAACCCTGTGTCTTGAAAAAGGAAAGAATGATGGGATATTTAAAAAAAAACAACATTCTAAAGGACATGTTTTAGCAGCAAATAAAGCTGAATTTTACTGAACCATTAGTATTATTGATTTTTTCCCCTAATGTGTGTGAAGTAGTTTACACAGTTTTCAGGCTATAATGATGGTTAATAATATGTTTAATAATCCAGCTCATTGCTACTTTTTCTCCACAGCTCGCATCACTGGAGCGACAGATCTTTGACTTCCTGGGATATCAGTGGGTCCCCATCCTCGGAAACTTTCTGCACATAATAGTTGTCATCCTCGGCCTCTTTGGAACAATTCAGTATCGCTCAAAATACATTGTGGTGGTGAGTAACTATTATCGCTATTTCTGCAGGGTGCCAAGGGTTGGTGTCTCAGATGTAAGGTTGACCACCATGTCAAAGGGGAGACAATCTGAGCTCCTTCAAGTCTTATAAACGGCTTTAAAATTGAAAGGCTCCTGTGCTTCGGAAAATAGTTCAGTTCTTCTTGTGCTTTTACTAGTTTGTTTCTTTGACTGAAAGACTCACATTAACATTTGTGACACATGCACGACTATAGGAGACTGACCAATCAGCACACAGCAAGAACTTCGCGCTTAAGTGAAATCCAGGTCGTTTTAATTGAAATGGTAGTTCGCAAACCCTGTCCTCTCTCATAGTGTCCCCCCCTGGCGTGGATTAGGTTTCCATCCTATTTGGATGGGTCATAAACATGCTGCAGTAGGAGACCGTGGCCCATGTCTGCTTCATGCCAGAATGCTGCACCTCCAAAGCTCTAAATCATCTTCCTGGCTCTTAAGTGGAGTCTCTTCCCTGATTACATGCCAACAGCATAAACAGAAGCTCCAGAAAAGCTGCTTGTTGTATGAAGATGCAAATTCCCAGATGGTGTTGCGGCTGCCTTCTGGCCTGACTCTGCCCCCCTCCAGCCTCAATGGCCCCCGGATGGCCTTTAAATAAGCGCTCTGAAATGGCTAATTATGAGACTTTGTCCTGGAAGTTTGGGGTCAGTGCTCCCCAAAGCATTTCCAAATTGCTCTCGTTGCTGATTTCTGTGACACTTCACATTTAAGAGCCTCATTTGCCCAAGTATTTACACTCAGAATCAATACCAAATGTGCCGGAGAACAAGTTGCTCTTTTTTATGACTTATCTAGTTTTTTGGTAACTTTACAATAACATACATATACTAGTGGCCAAAATTGTGGAAACACTTCCAATTTTTAGAGCTTGCATAACTTGTTCCAGTTACTTATTTAATCATCCAATGATATTTGTAACATTCTTTGATTTTTCATGAACATTACCATCGGTATTCATGTAGTAATTTCTAAAGCATAATGCCAAAAATGTTAGGTGTTTTCATAATTTTGGCCACTATTGTGGCCAAAATTATCTGTTTTTTTTTTTTTTTTTTTTTAATTTTTAACCTCTGGGTGAGGAGCTGACTTAGTACTTCATGTGGTCGGGTGAGATGTTGAAATGCCAAAACGATCAAATGTGACGTGTTGGAAAAAAAAACAAGAGACTGAGAACGTGTCAGAAGCAGAGACCTCAGCAAATGGCTGTCCATTCACTGGCCAAACAGGCGCGTGTAATGGCCTGAAATGTAAGCACAGACTGTCACTTGAATCAGACTATTGTTTCAATAGACATCAGTGTTTTGTTGTAATTAGATTTTTTTGTGTAATATTGGAAGTAGCAATAGATTTCCTGTTATGCTGTAATGAAAGAGAATGGAATTACAGTGAATTACAATGACAAAATTTTCATTTAAAATATATTTATTTGAAAGATGCTTTTATCAATAGTGACATACAGTTGAGAAGGCAGGGTCAGACAGTCCTCTACAGCAGTTGGGAGTTAAGGTCCTTGCTCAGAGGCACAGTGATGACATCACTCTGCTGGTTGTGGGATTCTTTACAATGACCTTCCAATCAAAAGCACAGAATTTTTGCCTTTAAATGTTCAAAAACCCTGACATACCACCTGGTGAAACCTCAGACTCCATAAACACCATCTTCAAAACAGTTTCCTGGCAGTAATGAGTTTGAAATGGTCTTTGTAAACGTACAGACTTTTAAACTTCCTTTAATTGCTGCCCATCACCTTGACCTAACTTGTTATTTTTATGTTGTCGCTCTACCTTATGACTTCAACTTAGCGCTGTGTTCGGAGTAGGATGGTCGGGTTTACTAGACATGAACGCGTTACATTTCAGAGGTTGATCGGTCATGAAGCACGTAATCACATAAGTCCCATTCTGACCTTGGTGGGACAGGAGATGTCTGGCTCTTCTGCTAAGTGGCTCCAGATGCAGGACGGCTGCTGGACGTCCTGTCATTTTTGCCGCTGATGATGGGGAGGCTGGTGGGATATTTGGTTGGAGCCAAGACTTGCAAAGTCTTGGAAACTTACTTGGAAAGTGCAGTGTTTTGTGAACAGATTTCTTGTGCTGGTGAATTTTACAATCAAAATCCCAGGAATCCTCAGTGTATAACAGCTGGTGTCAAACAAGCTAGTTGTTAGCACGATGCTATTAATTGCGATGTATTACGGAACTCGTGTCAGTAGCTGGATGCAGCCTTGCATTAGTAAATAGCTGCTGCTCGTGTGGTGGGGGCTGGCCCCCGGGAGCCCTGCTCCTTTTAGGATCCCTAAAGCTCCCCAATGGGGGATTATGGGTGGCCTTTTTTCCACATTGATCTTTCAGTGTGACGGTTTCATGCCCTTCATGCTGTGGGTGGTGTGTGGCTCAGTGGCTTAGGCGGCCGTGCCTGTGATTAGAAGGCTGCTGGTCCAAATCCCAGGGCTGGCAGACTGATGTCACTGCCGGGCCCCCTGAGCAAGGCTGTTAACCCTAATTGCTCCAGGAATTGGCTGACCTTGCCTTCTCAAAAATGTATGTCACTTTGGATTAAAATGTCTGCTAAATAAATGTAAAAATGTCTTTCTCTCTCCCCAGTACTCCATCTGGATCGCTCTATGGGTGGCATGGAATGTGTTCGTTATCTGCTTCTATTTAGAAGTTGGAGGTCTGTCTAAGGTAAGGTCACATGCTACATAAATATATGCTAAATCAGTGAGCTGGTTTTGCTGCAACCCAGTGTGGAATATGCAGATGGGTGGATGGATGTGTGTAATTCACTGTGCATAGTGTTTCACGGTTACCATGGTATTAGTGAAGTTCATTTTATCTTAACCATGACATACCTTTGAATTGTTTGAAATGAAAGTCACATGACTAGTAATTTCACTGGCTCTTATTGCTGTGCGAAGCTTCTTAGCATGAAGCTCATAGTGACAGAGCTATGGATTGACACTGCTATCAGATTCTCTTGCCAAAACCTATTTCCTTTGGTCAGCTTCCACTGCATTAAACCAGTGACCAATAGCACAAGATAATTTCACTGGTTTTAGGTTACAGAGATGACACCAGTGGTGTTGGGTTATGGAGATGATGGCACCGTCTTTGACTTATGGATTTTGGGCAAAGTCATAGCCGTCTTTCATGTCCCTTATTGCACTGCTGTCTTATGTTCTAGGTGTTTGGAGGAAAACCACATCTTAGCCTGTTCTTGGTCAGAGTTAATATTTCACTGGAATGAGCTGCAGTAGTCAGCAGTTACATAATCCAGGGGTGTTAGCCCCAGCTCTCATGCAATCACTAATGCAGATCAAGGCCACTCCTCTGGACAGAGTGACACTGCAAAGCCGTCATAACAAAAGCCCGTTAAGAACAGACAAACAACAAAGCAAAAAACGGCTAAAGAAAAACAGCATTACTCCAGGGCTGTGCTTTGTGACCCAGAAGTGCCGTCCATCTTTCTGCTTCCAGGTGACCTGAACAGTCACCTTGCTGTCTAGCAGGTGGTGAAGCTCTATAAGAAGAGGCAGCCATGTGTTTAAATCTCCACTGGGTGAGATTCTGCTTTGGGTCTCGTCACGCACAGAGAGTGGGACTGTAAATTTAACACCCTGGGATGGCTGTCCCCGGTGATGGATTCGGGAGCAGACGGTTAGCCCTTAATAACATGGCAGAGTGATCATGCAGCCCCTACGGTCACTCTGCAGTTTAGTACACCTCTGAGAGCTAGATATCACCCCTGAACCAGATTCAAATGCTCCCATCCAGACTGGATATCACCCCTGAGCCAGATTCAAACCAGATTCTGTCCAGACTGTGAGTGGAAATGTGTTCAGGACCGTAGAAGTGTTAATTGTTTCTTGAGTTGCAGTGACAACTTTTGAATATGCACTACATTAAATTTCAGATGAAGAAATTAAGGCAATGAGATCTGCTAACGTATTATGATTTAAGCATTGAATGAAACATTATGGGACTGCTGTTATTGCAAAGGATGCAACTCCTCTTCACAAAAATTTTGTAACTGCAATTTTGTATTTTCAACCCATGCAGCTCTTAATAAGCAGGATGATGCTGTGATTTACCTATGGAAAAACAGTGGGTCACACCACTGGGCACAAATCAATCGAATTAGCATACTTTGCAAACAATGCTGCAGGGTTATAAATACTCGGAAGCACGCTGTGAATAGCAGTGAGGAGTTCTGTTACTCTCTCCGGTGCCTTTGGCGATACCTCATCCGAGGACGGCAGGCAAGGTGAGACGTGGAAGTAACTCGGAGGTTTGCGGTGGCCGGGGGGGCTGCTTTGCACGGAAAGACGATGCCCCCGCAATGGTGTGGCGGCTGTTTTTGAAGGACGTGGGAATGATGGTGAGCGAATGCTCTGTCATTCAGCGGCATTAAAGATGGAACACCACTTCGACCGTTCAAAATATCTGACAGGAAAGGGACTTATTTTTGAAGATAACGCTTATCCTGTATTGGTTGAAGCCGATGATGCCCCCTCCCTTGCCGTCGTATGATTGGTTGGCCAGCACTGCTCTTATCCAATAGGTTGACCAGCACTGCTCTTATCCAAAAGACTGCATCTACATGCCAGGATGGATCTCCGTTGAAAAACACCTCACCATTCCAGATTTTTCCAGGTGTTATCTAGTCCGGAGGGTGCATGATCACCCCGTATTTTTTTTGTGGTACTTCCCTGGGTGCTTCTGTTTACTCCCATACTCCAAAATGTGAAGTTATGTGAACTGGTGTCTCAAAAAGCTCACAGTGCGTGAACTTGGGCCACCTGGTGCACATCCCATGCAGGTTGCCCTTTGTACCCTGCCTTGTGTGTCCTGGGACTGGTTCCAAGCTCACCAAGACACTGCACTAGATAATCAGTTATCAGGGTCCAGGGTGTCCCCTGCCTCGTGCCCTGTGATAGACTGGCATCCTGTCCATGGTGTCCCCTGCCTCGTGCCCTGTGATAGACTGGCATCCTGTCCTTGGTGTCCCCTGCCTCGTGCCCTGTGACGGACTGGCGTCCTGTCCAGGGTGTCCCTCTTCTGGGATAATCTCCTGGATCAGCACAAACCAGTACTGAATAATACTGTATATCTTAAGCTATTAAAGTAAAAATGCTACAGGTTAAGTTATAACGTAATAGAATTTTGGCCTGCAACTGATGCATGAGCTCTTTGCTAACTCACTCCCGGCACCATATAGATGAGGGAGAACACTATGTGAATCTGAACTGCTAAAGGAACAGGAGAACAGCAGTTGGATGTTGTAGGCAGTATAAGCAAGCTATGTAAGGTTATACCCTCTATCTTACGGCCTTTGGTCTTTTATTTAACTGGGTGTCAATGCTATGTGACTTTAGCTTTTACATATATCATATATCAATATATCATATGTACAGATCTAAAAATATATGGAGGGTCTGTGTGGTGTCAGTATCAGTCCCTGCCCTCTCATTTCCCTGCCTGGCCAGCAGGTGTCGCAGGTCACCCCTTTCCTAGTGTTTGAGTTCTTTGTAATTATGACCCACATAAAAACCTTGTTAGTCCTAGCCCTAGTGTTTGAGTTGTTAATGACCTGCACCTGTGTCTTGTTGCCCGAAGGCTTTTGGTTAATTGTTGTGGCTCACACCTGTCCCTTGTTTAACCCTTGTTTCCCACGTGTATATATGTGCCTGTCCTTGGCTTTTGCTCCTATTGGTCAACATGCTGGTTTCCTGTGTGGTGTTTGTATGTCTTACCTGCTCGAAGGAAGCTTGTTTGATTCCCGGGGCCTACAGTGTGATGTCACTGTTGGGCCTCTGTGCAAGAAATTTAACCCCCGATAGTTGCAGGGACTGTCTGACCCTGCTGTATCTCAAATAATGTATGCCGCTTTGAGTAAAAGCACCTGCTAAGTACGAGTTGCGAGTGAGTAAGCCATTTAGCCTCCTCTTGGTTCCTCATCCTGCTTCATTGTGTCAGTGTAACATGTCGGAGATGCAGCCCCCACTCAATTTGCGCCCCTCACCCACCTTTGCGGCTGTCTGGGCAGTGCCATGGCCGTCCTGGGGGGGGGGGCTCTGCCACCGTTGCCCCACTCGGATTCGGCACATTCGGGCACAGATGTACGGAGATGGGGTACTATCCTGTCCCCCGGTGACAGGTGACGTGTACTTTTTGTGGGCAGGATGGCAAACACTTGCCTAGGCATAGTGTAGGTGACAGTGACCAGTGTTATTATTGTTACATTTCAATTTCTCCTCACGACCCTGAATAGGAGAACCAGTTACAGAAAATGGATGAATGGACATTTTAATTTCTCCTGGAAAAAAATCTGTAGGAATGATAAATATCTTGATTAAGGAAGTTGCATTATGGCAAAAACAGGTGGTACATAATGGAAGGTCTGAGCTGAACAAAGTAGGGTGAGATTCATTTTTAATAAATCACCACATTCAGAATTAATAGACTGAAGATGATTGAGAAGTAAATACAAATGTTTGGCTCAAATTTGAATTTATAATTATGGAAACAGAAGTTTTACTGAAAAAATTATTAGTATGTAAAATGAATGGATGGTAAATAGTATTTAACTAAGTACTCACTGAAAGACGTACAGTGAGTGGGTGTGGGGTGAATTGGTTTGCTGCTGTTAAGAATCAAATCTGAATTTCACATTTATCTGGGTTTTAGTGAATAACACAGCATATGTGGATCAGAGACACGTCTTGGGGTTGGAAAAAAGTAATTGTGTCAATAAGGACAGTAAAATGCTCCGGTAGCAAATAGAGGTGTGTAGCTCTGTGGGGTTGGACTCTGCGCCCCTGGTCCGAATGGTGCCACTGTTGGGCTCTTGTGCATGACCTTTAACCCCAATTACTGTAAAAAGCACCCTCTAAATAAATGTCAGTGGTTTCTCAAGAACTGCAATGCTAATTGCAGAGGTGATTGGTCGTTTCGGGTTTCATGTCCTATCACTTACAAACGCTGTAGCCACATGGAATTTGCACAGCTTGTCAGTCCACGTCGTGTCATTTGTGAGCCCAAAACCTCAAGCTGACAAGCATCTGAATGCGGACATCTTGCTGTTGTCAGAGATGGAGGCATACGGCTGGGCTCTGAGACTGATCGCTAAATCATCTCCTTGTCGCCCCGGGGAATGTCTGTCCTGCTCACAGAATACAGATGAAGCCCCCACTTGAAGCTGTGGTCACCCCCGGACAGAACACAAAGTGGCTGGTGACAGTGGGCTTTGCTCCGTTGTCCCTCTGCGGCTCAGAGACAGCCCAGCGCTCCTGCCTGTCCGAGTCAGACTCTTAGCAGCACAGACTCCCACAGCTGGGCTGTGACTCATGACAGCATAAGAACAGGATGGCCATTTTCCAGGCTCCATGGGAATGACAGAGACAGCAGTAAAGTGGTGCTGTCACTAGCCTAGTGTGTGTTTATTTTAGTGTCATCCGCTAATTAACACTAGTGCTGGTCAACTCAAGGGTGACCTAGACGGCTGCCTAAACTCACAGGTGACCTAGACGGCTTCCTAGAGCGCCATCTCCTGAGGACTTAGCAAACCTGCGTGTGTCAGGCACCATATTGAGCTCTCTTGTTGGGAAAGGGCCAGATTCCCTTGGGGTTCATCCTGGATGGATGGTACTGTCAGAAGGTGTCGGTACACAAAGAGATCACAGCACAGCACCAGGCTCCGATCGTCCCTGCAAACCGAAACAGCCACGACCCGTTACACAACACACCGGTGTTTATTCGCTGTCATTTCCAGAACATGTTTTCTCTTGATACAAAGCCCAAATCGCTGTCTGCCCCAGACTGTAAAAATCAGTAATTTCCAGGCCGCGTGAGAAATTTTACAAACACTATTTACGGAATGCATAACTCATCTGCACTTGATTTTCTTAAATAAATGTCTTCCAGATAGTAAAGTTTTCTTTTTAAATGAAAAGGAATGAATTTGTAAGTAACTGACAAACACAACAAATTAAAGTGTCGGCATTAAATGTCCCTTTCGTTCGCATTTAATTGCTTTTATGCAGCTATCTTAGCACTAAACTGCTCCATTATGCTAATGCATGTGGAATTAGATCATTATGTTAATGGTACATTGTGCAGTCAATTTTTTTTTCCTGGTGTTTAATTGCTTCCTTGGTGAATTTTATAAACATGCACATATATCACTTGAAAAGCTTTTTATACCTGCCTAATCTGCGCAATTGTCTGCTTTTTATGCTTTGGTGAAGTTCATTGTATGCATTTCTCCAGGTTTGTGATTTCCGTGCAACGCCAAGCCTTGCATGTGCTTAACTTCCGTGTTTGATACTTAACGGAGTTGTTTTTTTTTTATGGGGATTCAATGAAGTGATGGTACTAAACCTCAGGGTTGTGTTCAGTGTCGGATATCTGTGGTCATTGATTCTTGGCACATAGCGATCTGGTGCTGGATAAGGGGTTTGTACGATGGACCGATGCTGCGTGATCCTTGGCAGTAACTGGACAAGATGGAGATATACTTCACTGCATTGCAAAGGATGCAGAACTTCGGTGTTCCTAACAATTTCTGTAAAGAATGAAGTTTGCACTGTGCCAGTATTATAATTACAGCATGAGCCAGCTGGGAGTAACAGGAGCTGCTCATTAGCAAGGGGTGATTGTGTGGACTCGAGTGTCTCTCTGCACCTTAGTGAGAGCATCCATGTTAATTACTACATGTCACACATCGCCCCTGCTTAAGAATCACCCATATTGAGCTTAATAGAGTTAGCTGTTTGCTTGCTATTTAATCTCACACTTTTCAGGACACCTGTGTCCTGGACTCTTGCTCTGTAATTAGCAGTGCTGTGCTTGCTGAGTTCCGTGGGCCCCTGCCTTCAGTCTCAGCAGCTCGGATCCACATCTTTGCCTCACCCGCGGCCCGCAGGTGTCCAGGGGTTCCTGCAGAAGCTGCATGCGTTGATGTGGAGCGAAGCCAGGGGCGCAGAAGGAGCAGAGACCCCGAGATTTTTCCGGTCTTTGTGTGGTACACACTACAGGTTGACTGATATTTGTTTTTTGGGGTGGGACAGCTGATAGTATGATTGTTACATTCCTACTTAAAATAAACAAGTAACACAGTTGCTAAAGTTGTATTTATGTAGCATTAACATGCAAATACAATTTCTATTAATTATTCATATTAATCACTCTTTAAAGAAGGGCATGCAGCTTATTAAGAGTAATAGAGCATATAAACATTTAACCATACTCGGTGCTCATCTCTGTGGTGTTTCATGACTAAATTTATTCAATTCAATTCAATTCAATTTTATTTATATAGCGCATTATCACAACATTACATTACATTTACATTTATGACAAAAGTAACAAAATATTTTTAAAAATTGAGATCATTCTGGCATTCTGATGTTGTTCATCATGTGAAACTGATGTGAAATTTAGCACTCTTGTTCACTCCTGGCTCACTACTGTAGGTGCTGATAAACCACATTATAACACTGATGAAGTGAGTACTCAGCATGTCAATCATGCACACACACACACACACACACACACACACACACAGACACACACACAGACACACACACACACACAGACACAGACACACACACACACCTCTTTGATATTTTGTCACTTTTGAGTGAAAAAGCATCTTTACTACAGATGCTCAACAATGTCAATGAAATGTCAGGAAATTTCTGATAAAATGTGTAGGGTGTGTGACCGATAAGGAATGACGCAGATACTAAGCGAATCGGTAAAGAGAATCAGGAGTTTTTGCTATGAGGGTCGTCGAGGTGCAGATACCGCCACCAAGTTCGTCCTGATTGGTTGTTTCCTCTGGAGCTGCCAGCACTCGCTCACAGATTCGCTACTTGGCAGGAAAGCGGTTTATCTACGATCGATATCTGTGCCGTTGAGCCCGTTTGGGCCTGGGGGGGGTGGGGTTCCCGCTCTGCAACGATTTCCTTAATTGACTGACTGTCAGGCCGCACCTGAGCTTCCCTTGTCAGATGCAGGAGAACATCTCACCCAATCGGTATTGACCTTTCTTCCCATAGGACACTGACCTCATGACCTTCAATATCTCCATGCACCGCTCCTGGTGGCGTGAGCACGGCCCCGGCTGCGTGAGCAGGGAAGTCCCGCCCCCAGGCTCCCGCACACTGGAGGACCACACCTACATCTCTGTCACTGGCTGCATCATGGAGTTCCAGTACCTGGAGGTCATGCACTCTGCCCTGCAGATCCTATTGGCTGTGAGTACCGCCCGTCACAAGCATGCCAACCTCTGCTACAATTTACTGGCTGTGTCACAGCAGACCTGTGTTTCGGGGTCATACTGCTCGTGGTTACTCAATGTAATTGAGGATAATTGACAAACATATTATAAAAAGGCAATTCATGAATTAAAACACAAGTAAAACTGCTGTAGATTAAGCCGCATGACTCTCGGGTACCTCTCTGCAGATCTAATTGAATAAAAAGCGTTAATCAATAAGTAGCTGAAAATTCTAAGCTCTTACTTCAGCCCAAGGGTAATTGATTCTTTTTGCATAGTTAAATGGGTTCAGCTTCAGACTCGTGGAAATGGTGACATCTCACCTAATCGGCAAACGCAAATACCTGACAAATACTGTCATGAGGTAAGTGGGCTGGGGGCAAAGTGGTAGCCTGTTTAAGGTCATGGGAAAAGGAATCAGGGGTGAATGGAAAATGAGACAATGCAGAGCTGATTCTGCACTGGAGACATGAGATTTTAAAGCTTCTTTTACAGGCCAAAGGCACAGCTGATATTACCTGTTAGTTGTGGGATTTTACAGCATCCTTTCACATCCACACGACGCAGCATCTTCTGACTGAAATTGGTCCACAACCAGAGTGTCTAGCAGTGAGCTGCACTTGGGGGGCTGCCCTCACTATCCAGGCTGCAGTACTCACATTACTATAAATACTCGGTTACAATCACTTACTGCATCTCTACATCAGCATAATGTAGGTGCTGCTCAGCTTACGATGGAGTCATATTCCGATGAACCCGTCGTAAGTTGAAAATATCGTAAGTCAAATATAAATATGATATGATGAGTAAGCAAATAAGTAAACAAATAAATAAGCACATAAATACATAAGGAAGTGAATGAATGAATAAATGTCACTGAATAAGTAAATTTTTGCTTAAAAAAAATACACCGTCTGATACGTTGCCACACACCTTATGAGGTGTTTACGCTCATGATCCCTACGGAGACCGGAAACATGGCTGGGTGGATGCTGCTGTCACCCAGCAACAGTAGAAAGTATCATACTCCATATTGCTGGCCTGGAAACAGAATCAAAATTCAGTGAACGTGCATCCGTATCGCAGGATTGTAAAGACGAAATATCCTAAATCAAACCATCAGAATGTGAGGAATGTCTGTACATGTTTACTCCTATTGAATTGAATATTGAATATTTATCATAGCATTTCACTGGACTCCAGCTGTCCTGTAACACGTATCCCCCCACCCTGTGCCCTCTGCTGCCTGCAGTAAGCTCCAATTCTGTCCCCCAACCCTGAATTTGACAAGCAGTTGGGAAATGGATGGGTCTCATTGGATTTTATGTATTCATATTTATGTGTATTGAGAATACCTTGCAGTTTTGTGTTTTGGATTTGGACAAACGGCCTACTGGTCTCTGACATGCAGCAAAATCTGCTTTACGGGTGCAGACGTGCTGATCAGCAGGGGGAGCTGTTTCCAAAACAGCTCCAGAGGGGACGAATCACATGACCAAACACGGCCATAACATGGCCATGACTGCCCCCAAACGACTGTTTGACCTTTTTTGACAGTCACGGCGTAACCAAGGAGACCACAGTGCACCTTGACATCCAGTCAGATGATCTCCGTCACACTAACAGATCTGACCGAGTGTTTCCTAAAAGGTTTCATCTCTTTGCTGCTGGAACTGATGCTTTTCTGGGAATGACTGAAGAAAGCAGACTGATTGCAATAGCAGAAAGCAGATTATTTCTAATGCTGGAGACAGCCTCTGTGGAGTTATCTATCAACATTAAAATGCAGCATGACACTGGGGGTAGCTGCCCACCATATGTGGTTGGGAATTGGCTGTGGTAGCCTGGTAGGTCATCCTCACATCAGAGACAGCACAGGAACCTATAAATAATGAACTAAGGCAAGTCAGGTGACTCTGCAGAGGAGAAAAGATGCATTAATAGTGCTCAGTAGTTATGGTGCATCCTGCTCGTCTCCATGGAGCAGGTAGCTTGTGGTGATGCCAAACCGGGCCGTTAGTTGAGGTGTCAGCCTCTGCTGTGAGCCAAAGACGTCTCCGCTTTCTGTGCATTAACCACAGGACACCGGCACGCAGGGTGTATCCGGGGGTGTGCACACAGTAAGGGAGGAGGGTGCACCTGAGGATGCAGAGCTGGCCTTTATAAAGTGACCCCCTTTCTTGTGCCCTGTGCTCCGTGGCATAGTCGCCAGGCTCATGTGACACTGTACTGGATAAGAAGGTGGAAGATGGAAGGATATATGAATTAGGCTGCATTTCACTGCTGGTTTTAGATTCAGGAATCAAATTCAGTAATAAACTGCATTTTGACATACTGTCTGTAAGCAAATATGTTGTACTAATTAGCTTATAACCATACAAGTATGTTCTACCTTATTTGTACCACATTTACTCTACTTATTTATGTGTTCTATCTATCTGTCTATTTCTGTCCCTCTACCGGTCTCTCTGTGTGTGTCTCTGTCTGCCTGTCTCTCTGTCCCTCTGCCTGTCTCTCTGTCTGCCTTCCTGCCTGTCTCTCTGTGTGTCTCTCTGTCTGCCTGTCTCTCTGTCTGCCTACCTGCCTGTCTCTCTGTCTGCCTACCTGTCTGTCTCTGTCTGCCTACCTGCCTGTCTCTGTCTGCCTGTCTCTCTACCTGCCTACCTGCCAGTCTTTCTGTGCCTCTGCCTGTCTCTCTGTCTGCCTGCCTGTCTGTCTGCCTACCTGCCTGTCTCTCTGCCTGTCTCTCTGTCTGCCTACCTGTCACTCTCTCTGCCTGTCTCTCTGTCTGCCTACCTGCCTGTCACTCTCTCTACCTGTCTGTCTTTCTGTCTGCCTACCTGCCCGCCTGCCTGTCTCTCTACCTGTCTGTCTCTCTGTGTGTCTCTCTGTCTGCCTACCTGCCTGCCTGTCACTCTCTCTGCCTGTCTCTCTGTCTGCCTACCTGCCAGTCTTTCTGTGCCTCTGCCTGTCTCTCTGTCTACCTGTTTCTCTGTCTGTGTGCCTGCCCGACGTCTCATACCTAGCCTCTTCCTATCTTATCCCCTTATTGGAGGTTTCTGCAGGACACACCGTCTGTCCCCCTGCTGCCTGGAGACGTGCTCATTAGGCACAAGCAGATTGGCTGTCAGTTTGAATCTGTGCAGAGCAGCTTTTTCTTCCCATTGGGGATTTAATCAAACACAGCGGCCTCTAATCTGTTCCAGAACGCACCCTTCTGCTCAATCTCTTCTCATTTCTTCAGTCAATGCCCATTCCACCATAAGAAAGTGGCCACCCAGCCAGCACTCATGTTCATGCCATGACTGGTGCTGTCGGCCCCTGAAAGTATAGAGATCCAAGTGGACGTAGATGGGATAGACAGTGACTGCATAGTAATAGAAGAGGCTGTCAGAGGGCAACATTCTGTAATGTCTAATATCTGTTGTGTGCCATCTCCTCACAGCAAAGTCATACCAGCCATTGGTATGTTTCTGGACAGACAAATACAAGTATTTGGGAAGATAATGAACATGTGTGGGTTGACGGTTCAGGCCCATTTGAGTGCTCTGATCTTTATACATTTTAACAATGAAATTGGTGGTCTGTCCATAGATGCGATAGATGTACTTAATACTGTTGAAACCTTATGAAATTGGGGTGAGTGATTGGTTGAGCCCTATAGGGTCACAGTGAGCTGGAGCCCATTCCAGGAAGCGCAGGTCTTTAGACTGGATCCCAGTGTATTGTGGAGCACACATGCTACCATCATTTTAAACTAAAATGCCAGATGATGCAGCCATTTAACCTCTGCGGATAGACTAGAATACCACAGGTTACCGCCAGCTAAGCCCTATGTTCCTTAACCACACATTGCCCAAATAGGTGGCATATTTTATTTCTTGTTTGTCTGCTGTATGTTTACCTGTGTTCTCTAAATTGAAAAGCTCCAGCTTTCTACCCATGAAGCCTTGATATGACACTCTTTCTCACCTCAGCTGGTGATGTTGCTTCATTTATACCAGCAGAGAGGCTGCTGGGAGATTTATCACAGGCTGGGTTGCAAAGAGCCACAGGCATCACCAGGAACCGGCTTGGCTCACACCAGAATTTACTTTGCAGCCATGTTCCACTGCATCTAATGGAGATCTTGCAACATTTCATAAGGAGACAATGTACGGAGATGCAGAGCCTTCTGTGCTCCCAGAGGGTTCTGGATGATTGCTTAATTGGTGAGAAGAATAGCTTGCAGGAATGGATACATGTTCTTATAGGAACACATGTAAATAGAGTCTTCTTAGTGCATTGTGGACAAGGTTCTATTGATTCATGGCTTCCAGCTGTTGGTTTTTCTTGCTAGTGACCGTTTCATTCATTCCTTGTGGCTGCATGTGTCAAATATCGCCCATCACAATAAGTTCTAAGCAGCTGATTCCACAAAAAAATGTCTTCCATAAGGTCAGTGTTTCACTTACTGATTCATTCCATATGTGGTCTGTACATAGATTTCCATATAGTGATTCTCCATGAAGATGTGGCTTCTATCATATTGAATGGTCTCACGGTTTGTCTGCATCCATTTCCTGCTGTGCCAATAGCCCCCGTCTGTTTTTTTTTATTTTCCATAGGTCTGCATGACATAAGAGAGAATACCCAGTAGAATTTGTCCAATAAATGGTTAGCAGATATCTATAATTAAATGCCTGTTTCATATTTGCACATATATTATGAGACACGGTAAGATATTTCCTGAGCATGTTTACACCTATTAAGCAATAGCAAATGAGATGGAGTGCGGATGCACTCCAATATATCACGGCTGTGAATCGGCCGTAGACAATCACAGCCGTGATATATTGGAGTACAACCACACGACTTGGAGTATGTTATTGCTTTTATACAACAGTTCACCAAGTAGCATTTATAAGGTAACAGTAATAAGATGCAGCATATTTTGTTTATATATTTAAACATTTACGGGTCTCCGCAAACAAAAATAATTCCCGTAACATCAGCGAAAGTGGGACAGGCTATCGCATCCAAAACACTTCCGCATACCCGATAAATTCAGTCCATAACAGATATAGTTTTGTCTATTGTCGCTGGTGACAGCAGTGAAACAGCTAGCCAGCTTATTGGCTGAATAACTTTGCATTGTAGATTAAAACCATGCCGAAGGTCTAATTAATAAAACACTGTGGTACTCGAGTGGCGAAGAGATCATGAGGTGGACAGCGAAGTTCAGTTATTAGCAGACTTTTTTATTGCACGGTCCTTAAAAGGACAGCGGTAAAACGAGTGAGAATAAAGAATTAGCTCTTTTGTTTAAGGAAACAAAAGTGGATACATGCAATAGAGACAGAGCTCAAGAAGTCATACTCTGAAAAGTTATTTTTTTGGTTCAGCAGCTTATAAAAACTGAAATCCAAAACAGATCAAAATAAATCCAAAAAAACGGAATACATATGAACCTTTGCTAATTCCCGTCCTTGCCATTGGACGAAAATACATTTGTCTTCTGCTGCTTCTCTTTAGCACAACTGACTACTAACTTATTTGACTGACTATTAGAAGATAAGTTCTGTCTGGCTAGAAATATCTATCATATTATATATTCTATTAGGCCACTTAAAATTAATAAATTGTTTTACATGACTCAAACTTCTAAAATATTGGTGAGTAGGGGATTTTATATTTTATATTTTTAGTGAAAAGACGATCGGCAACAGAGATATACTAAAACTAGAAAATTAAACTTTAATTTCTCAGTATCTCAACAGTTCAAACAATTACAAGAAAAGAGAAACCTTCAAAACAAATGCCTAGTCTAAGTGTTTAATGGTCTTGCCACAGAAGGGCCCAATAAAAGCGTCCTCCTGACAATAGCAAAACAACAGCACTTCCATTGTTTCAAACAATAGAAGTGCTGTTGTTTGACCTCAATGAGGGTCACTATTATTGGACCACCCTACAAGAGACTACTTGCTCACAGTGCACAGGATATCAGGATTTGGCACATTGACGATCTCTAACAGTTTTTGAGGTGAAAAAAACTGATTTTTTGAAAAATATAAAATATAAAAAAAATCGAGGCGGCACCAAAAAATTGAGGCGGGCGGCCATGTAAAACAATTTATTAATTTTAAGTGGCCTTATGTAAGGTGATGCGGTTAAGTGACGGGGCTAACCGTTTTAGCAGAGATTATTTTGACATACAGGAATCGTAGAAAGTAAATTAAGCAAAATAATTTAAGTTAACATGATGACAGAGGTTACATATCTATGGCTATCCTCACATTACCGGATTAGTACATCAACCCAAATGTCTTTTTTTAAGATGGATTTGCATCTCAGTTGTTCTGTGGTGTTATTTAAATTCTGCTTTACAGTGCTGACAGACGACTGCATTGTCAGTCACTTTGAATGTGAAGTGCTTCCACACAGCTGATGCTTTTGCTCTTTATTTAGACCCTCGTCCGCCATGCGCCATCTTCCTCCCGCCATATTGCCGGGTAATCGAAAAGGGAAATATTAGTCGACGCTTTTAAATAACCGACTAATTGAATTTAATCGAATAATCGTGACAGTTCTATTCGGCTGTGGTACAATCCTGAAAATCTGCAATATAACGGAGGTGGAATTAAATGCTGGGCGTAGAACTTGCTGTGAGTTAGGTAGCTGTCCTTGCGCTTCCTGGGATGTGAGGCATGCCCCGCCCCCTCTCAGCCCCGCCCCTCTCAGCCCCGCCCCCCTCTCAGCCACGCCTCCGCGCCGTCCCCACATAATCTGTCACAGCAGACGAGAAGAACGAACGTGCCTTCATGTCACATGTCTCTGCTGCAGGCTTCCATCAGCACTAGCGATGAACACATTCTCCCGATTTTATAAATTGAATTGTGAGATCGGCCTTCCTTTCAACCTTCTCAGTAATTGGCAGCAAGCCACAACACATCTGGTAGGGGAGGGGTGGATGGTAAGACAGGAACTTGTGTGTAAAAATGATGATCTGAATGCACCAAATAACAATGCAGTTTATTCCTCTCTGTTATTTCTGCCTTCGAGATGCCCGGAAGGTCCCTCTCTGATGAGTTTGCTGTCTGTATGTCTCCCCCACAGCTGGCGGGCTTTGTGTATGCCTGCTATGTCATCAGCATCTTCTCGGAGGAAGAGGACAGTTGTAAGTACTGACCTGCTCCCTTCTGCTCCCGTCTCTGGAGATCTCCAGGGTGAGGCTTCCTCTTTAGCTAAGTGGTAACCCCATCCCTTCAATCGCCACCCATTCTCATTTCCTGGGACATCTCAACATTCAACGCCAATATCTCATCTCAATATCATGAACATTCCTGCCCCTGGCAAAAAGTGCTTGCTCAGTACTGGCTTGCTTAATGGCTGCTGAATTTTTTACTGAGTTTCCCCATTAATGTGTCCTGTACTTAAAAATGATATTCTGTTTTTTTGCTTATTGCTATGATTGTTTCTATGGGAGTGGTATTGGTAACAGCACTATGACAGTAGGAGACGGGCGAATGAGGGTCATGCCAAGTCACAGGTGAATGAGGGTCACGCCAAATCACAGGCGAATGAGGGTCACGCCAAATCACAGGCGAATGAGGGTCACGCCAAGTTGCAGGTGAATGAGGGTCACGCCAAATCACAGGCGAATGAGGGTCACGCCAAGTCACAGGCGAATGAGGGTCAAGCCAAATCACAGGCGAATGAGGGTCACGCCAAGTCACCTGTAAACGAGCGTCATGCCAAGTCACAGGCAAACGAGGGTTATGCCAAGTCACAGGCAAACGAGGGTTATGCCAAATCACAGGCGAATGAGGGTCACGCCAGGTCACAGGTGAATGAGGGTCACGCCAAGTCACCTGTAAACGAGCGTCATGCCAAGTCACAGACAAACGAGGGTTATGCCAAATCACAGGCGAATGAGGGTCACGCCAGGTCACAGGCGAATGAGGGTCACGCCAAGTCACCTGTAAACGAGCGTCACACCAAGTCGCAAGCGAATGAGGGTCATGCCAAATCACAGGCGAATGAGGGTCATGCCAAGTCACGGGCAAACAACGGTCACATTCAGTCACTAGCAAATGAGATTTGTGTCAAGTCCCGGGCAAATGAGGCTCACGCCAAGTCACAGGCAAACAAGGTTCAGTTAGTGTCAGTCAGCCAAACCCCAGTTGTAACCAATGTCAGGTTAAAGGTAGCAGCTGACAAAATGCTGGAGTGATAAAATAAATATGCTCTTCTGGTTAATTGATGTGATTGATATGCAGGTCAAGTGGAAAATCTGATTTTAAAGCTTTATGCCCTGATTTCTTTCAGATGTTTCAGGTGCTAAGGCAGTCTGGCCTGATCTTGTTTGTGGTGGCTTGTTTGTGGTACCATAAACTGGGACTTACCAGACTTACACAGAAATAAAATGAGTATGAGTTCTCTATGCTCTGTATAGCTCCTAAAAGTTTTGTTACCATAAATTTTGTGATATTACGTCATTGCAAACAATTCCAGTCCTGCTCAAATAATCCAGTGATACACTGAAAGAAAACAGACACTCATGTTCATCCATCCAACATGGTGTAGAAACCATGTCACTGGATAAAGCAGGGACCATTTGGCTATATCTGATCTGGGTGCTTAGGACCTGCATGCCACCTGGCACGGGCCAAGATGGGGCACCTATTTGAGTCCTTTGTATTAATGTACAGTTTTGTGAAGATGCATGCAGTGAGAAATCATCAGTTGTCATATCTGACCTTAGAATGAAAGGTCGGTCAAGAAGCCTGACTCATCGATGTAAATCAGAAATGAAGAAAAATTGATTCATTATCCAGGGCACAAATGTAAAAATACAAAGCCAGAGTTGCATTCTAGAAGCATGATTTAAAGAAAAGTGTATTTGTGGATATAAAACATTATTCTAAATCTGTCTTTTAAAACTGCATAAAGTAGGGACCCACTGTATTAGGAATTTTTGGTCTTAATAATACTGGCCTTTGTTGTCATTCTAAGGAATATAAATATTAAAGCATGCATATACCTCTGGACGGGTTTTCAGACCTGTCCTCCCCTCTCAGCAGCAGTGATTCTAGTATAGTTAAGGTTTGGGGCATAAAAGGAGCCATATTTCATAGCAAAAAGCCTAACTTATTAGCCAATGATATGTTTCGAATCAATGAGTGACAGAGGCAAGGGCACTCTGGGGGCCAATCAGCTTACAGCAGGGGCCAGTGCCCCTGTGGCCCCACCCTTATATGCACCCCTTCATCTCAGGCTTCCTTATCCCTCAAACACATCTGCTTTTCAGGATGTCTGACATATGTGAACCTTCCGGAATCTGTTGCAGGAAAAACAGGTAACCTTGCCCAAAGAAAAGATGCCATTAATGAAAGCTTTACTCTCTGGTCCTTTGATTAAATTCCTCCTCACAGCTCTTAAGGAGGCCCTGACTGAGGAGCCTCTATTTTAATCAGTCCCCATTAGAAACAGACATAGTTTCTTCCCTCCAGCAGAAAAATGTGCTGTATATTAAACGGATTATGTATAGAATGTTATAATTGAATATTTAAGACTTGATTATATGGTGTGAATGTTTTAACATTTTAATGGGACCTTCAGTAAGTTATTAACTGGGCTTGAGGGTATCATCCTTTACCCAGGCGCTGTGCATGTCCGTGTTCCCCCCCGTGTTTCAGCAGCTTTCCTTGATGTGTTTTGCTGTAGTTCGCTGTTCCATCCAGACCAGTGTTTCCCAATCTGGTTCTCAGGAACCCACAGACAGTCCATGTTTTTGCTCCCTCCTGGCTGCCAGTAAGTGGCTGTGGGTCCCTGGGGACCGAATTAGGAAAATCTGATCTAGACTGTCCCCTGCCACTGCAAACTCTGTACTGAAACTCTGTGCTTCCTGTACTGCAAACTCTGTACTGAATATGGATGGATGTATTTCTGAAAACGGCATTTCTAAATCTTTAATAAAATCTTTTACTAAAACATAGTGACCTGGGTAAGTGGTTATAAGACAGGTGGATGGATTAAATGTAGGCAGAACAACACAAAGTAGGATGTGTGTTCAAAAGTTTAAATATATTTGAATCTGGTCTTCATCTTGGATCCATGTTTTAAACATCCATCAAAGATGTGGCAGGCCGACGTTCTTAGTTACTGCCATCTGCAATGTGCCTTTTACATTGATGGTCAACTGTCATTCTGCATCATCACATACAGAACATGGGTGTTACATGGTAGCATAAGTAAATGAACTGCACCTGTCACTGGTCTGAAGATCTAGATGCTTTAGTGTGGATTTCTTCAAAAATCTCACTTATAGTGCTGCCCTGTTGTTTCACAGTGTGTAACAGAGCATGTGAGTGGAGTGGAGCGGAGCGTGAGCGAGGAGCGGAGCGGGAGCGAGAAGCGGAGCGGAATTTAGTAAGAGCGCGAAGCGGTTTTTTAATTAAGACTGGAGCGGTCGCTCTGTCTCGCTCCAATTTCGCTCCGATACCGCTCACACTACAATTCTGAGGCATCCCCAAATCTACCCAGAATTCATCTGTACAATTATCAAGACTGTTACACAAATTGGCCGAGATGGAATTCGCAAAGTATTTCACAAAGGAAATTGATAAATCATACAAGTGTACTATTCTTATAAAATGGAAAGATGATAAGAATGTACAGCAAGAACAACAATGTGGTGAAACTGTTTCAGTGAGTATAGATTCACTTTGGAATCACTTTTCTCAGAAACATGAGAGTGTGCTACGCGAACAGGCGGAAGCCAGAGAAAAACGTGAGTAATGTGTATATGGTTGTAGCATATCAAGTCTATAAAGTAAATTAATAAGGTATAAAAGCCTATAAAGTAAATATTGTTAATCAAACAAAATTCATTTTGTCATTGGAAATAGGTCTAACAGGATCACGTAACACTGTAGGCCTACGTGAAATTTTATTTTATAGAGACGCAGCAGCAGCATCGACAGAAAAAAACTGAGGAATTTAAAACGTGGATGCTTACAGTAGCTTGTATAGTCTTTAGGCTATTAAGCCCACTGATTCCTTTATTTTTAAGTCTATTTTTGTTTGGAATGCCATTGCCAAACCTGTCCATTATTGCCTATATGTTGCTTAAAAATAGATATTTTCTGTTCTGAGTGGCAATGTTGCCGTTGCTCATATTTCTTTATGATATAAGGCTTTGGTTTAAGGTGATATTTGTTAGGCATGCAGATTATTTGTCCCTCTTTTAAATTGGAGCGAGCGTGGAGCGATTTGACTGGAGCGGGAGGACGTTTTAGTGGAGCGAGGAGCGGTGTTGAGCGGAGCGGCTTAGTGCGAATTAGAGCGGAGGAGCGGGCGGAGCCAATAGCCTCGTGAGTGAGGAGCGGGAATTCTCACCGCTCCACTCCGCTCACATGCTCTGGTGTGTAACATGCACTGGTGTATATGTGCTCACCATTCTGTGAGTGTGTCTGAATTGTTCTTTTTATTGTCATGCAAAGTTATGGGCCCATTCCAAATAATGCCAACAGCTCACACAAAATTAAATGAGAAGATTGGGGTACTATGACTTTGATAAGAAGGTTGTTGGTTCAAGTCCCTGGGTCCGCAGAGTGTTGTCACTGTTGGGCCTCTGACCAAGGCCCTTAACCTCAAATTGCTCTGGGGACTGGTTGACTATGCTTTTTTTTGCAATTTTGTGTCACTTTGGATAAAAACGTCTGCTAAATAATTATACATATATTATGTGGACAAAAGGACTGGGACAGCTGGCCATTACACCCACAGGAACCTTTATGGCATTCCATTCTAAATCCATAGGCATCAATATGGAGCTGGTCCCCCCTTTGCAGCTATAACAGCTGCCACTCTTCTGGGAAGGCTTTCCTCAAGACTTTGGAGTATGTCTGTGGGAATTTTTGCCCACTCATCCAGACGAGCATTTGTGATCTCAGGCACTGATGTTAGACGAAAAGGCCTGACTCACAATCTCTTCTCTAGTTCATCCCAAAGGTGTTTGATGGGGTTGAGGTCAGGGCTCTGTGGGGGCCAGTCAAGTTCTTCCACATCAAACTCACCCAACCATGTCTTGATGGACATCGCTTAGTGCATTGGGGCACAAAGCCCCAAAACTATGGGGTCCCAAAACTGTTCCCACAAAGTTGGAAGCATAGAAGTGTGATTCGTCACTCCACAAAGATTGACATTGTGTTTGGTGATGTGAGGCTTTCATGCAGCTGCTCGACCATGGAAGCCCATTCCATGAAGCTCACAGCATACAGTTTTTATGTTGGAGTTAATTCCAGAGGAAGTTCAGAACACTGCAGTTATTGAGTCAATAGACTGTTGATGACTTTCACACACTATGCACTTTAGCACTCAATGACCCCTCTCTGTTACTTTACCACTTCATGGCCGAGTATCTGTTCCTAAACGCTTCTACTTTGCAGTAACACCACTTACAGTTCACCGTGGAATATCTGATTTATTGCAAAGGTGGCATCCTCTGACGGTACCACACTTGAAATCACTGAGCTCTTCAGAACGACCCATTCTGTCACAAATGTTTGTAAACCTGACTGCATGGCCAGATGCAATGGGTCTGAATGAAATGCCTGGATTCTAATAATTAAGAGGTGTGTCCCAATACTTTTGTCCATATAGTGTATGTATATTTCAGGATCATCCCCAGAACAAAGAAGCACCATCACAGCATCTTGTAATATATGAAAAACATCTGGCATCTACTCCAGTGAGGGGTGCAGGCATTCAGTTTCTGTAGAGTGTGTGTGTGTGTATATATATATAGAGAGACTTCCAACATATTTTAATGGGTTTTAGAAACAGTGGCTTTTTTGGCAGCTTTCCAAAATGATGGTGCTTGATGTCTCATCGGAGCAGTAACTTGTGTTGCGTGAGCTTGGCTGGTAGCTTTCATGCACGTGCTCGGTCAGGGCCATAAATAATTGAAGACCAAGGACGACCCAATGTCAGAATCCTTCTCAGCGTGGTTGTAAGTGACCTGCACTGTGGTTTCACCCTGAAGTCAGTGCAGGAAAGATAAATGACTTCACAGCCTCAGAGAGCTGGAAGGACAAAAGTAGATCTTCAGTAACTTTGGTCGTCCATAAACACAGCTTAGATGTTTGAGTGGTGTAGTTTTACAGCTATTTAGGGAAGCATTTCGTATAGAACTGCCTTTGTAAAGCACTTTGAATTGCCTTGCATCTGAATTGTGCTATATAAATAAACTTGCCTTGCCTTGAAAGCTTACAAAGTATTTATTCCAGATACCCGTCAACGTATTCAGCGCCTTAGAATATCAAACAGCATAGAATAGAAATTTAAATATTATTTACATAAAAATGAAGAACCACAATGAAATGAAGCTATTTTATTTTGAATAACCAAAAAAAAAAAAAAACTCCTGTCTTTTTGCAGCGGGTCTTGATCACTGGTCTTGTTGTGATTTCAGTCACGTTCATAGAGGGACTTGATTCTTAAACCTACTGGCTATCTCCTCAGAAAAGTTCACCTGTGCAATTAAAGCCTGTTTATCAGTAAAAAAAGGAAATGGCATTTTTCAGCTTACGATTTGCCACAGTCGAGTTTGCTGTTGCCTGCTTATCTCCGAAGAAGTGGCCCAATAATGAGGGGAGACCGGCGGCGGGACACTGGCTGAACAGAATAGAGCAGCCGCCCTTGGGTGCAGTGCTATGCTGGGGAGGTGCAACAGTTACTGCACTTTCAGCTAATGACTGTCTGTCTACCAGCAAACCTCAGGCTGCCAGCTCCTTCTTGGTGGGATTTTCCTGCCAGCTGAAATGTTAACAGTGCTTAGTGGTTCTGTGGTTCCATGGGGGAGACCTCTGTCTTTATCACGTTAATGGTGAAGGATTAAACCCGAGGTCAAGACAAAACGGCCGGCTGGAAGCGTAATCCGTGGAAGGACCTGCGCATAAAACATCTCATGTTCACTGAAGTAGCCTTCAAAGTCCAAACCCATGCTGGCATTGTGACCTTTGTGGCCCTTTCCCTGCAGATAGCCCTGTATGAATATTGATATTATGATCGAGCTATAAGAAGGAGAAACAGCTTCAGTAGAAATACACTGATGCCCTTTTGTTTATCATCATAATAATTGTGAAATTTAACAAAAAACTGTTTATTTCTGTTTTCATTTAAGTACATTTTTACAATACATTCAAACAAGGTATTAATCTCTTGCACAGTGTTTAAATAAAATACTCTTGGTGCAGTGATGATCCAATTTTTTTTCACTGCTTACAATAAAAAATCAATATAATTCATTTGACTTGACTCTCATTCACATTTGACCATTTGTAAATTGAGTGAAATTCAATTTGTGAATTTGATTCTTAACAAAATTAGATTTTCCATAAATAGAAAATCAGGTCAGCTTCTCACAACACGTATCTCATGATCTGTTTTTCTGCACATCCAGATGACAGCTCATCTCTAAGGCTTCGTAGCAATAATCCTGCACTGCAACTTCACTGTTTTTATAGACACCTGTGACATTTTCTTAGCTAGAAGTCGCTTAAGTCTGGCTAAGGAACACAGTGAGACTTTGTTCTGTATGCTGCATGCTGCAACAGCCTTTCAGTTGTGTACCAGATGAACAAACATCCTGGAGTGAATCTTTAGAAGATCTTTTCATTTCAGCTTTGTTCTCAGATCTCAGTGGCTGTGTGTCATATCCTCAATGCTTTTTCCCTAGTCGCAGTCACTAGGTGCCATAATGATACAGCCATGTTATATAAGTTTTTTAACTCTAAAGCCTGATTTACACTTGGTTTTAAAATGCATCTTCAGTGATTGGATCACAAGCAGCCAGCAGAGACACATCACCATTTACACCTGCGCCTATTTGATCACTTGTGCTCAGATTTCATTACTATCCCCTGCACGGTAATTGTGGACATCCTTGTCGGGGACATATTAGGACTCATTAGCATTTACACTACAAAAGATAACTGCATGTGGTCAAATGTGTCCCAGACCACCTCAGCAAGTGGTGTGAGCGATCAAATCACAATGCATATTGGTGGTCGTTTACACTTGTATCTAACACTGCCCAGTGATTCAGTCACCCGAGGTACATTTTAAGACCATGTGCAAACAGGGCCTAAGTGCTGGTCATTGTTCATCCTGTTGGATAAGCATGTTATTTACATTCCAGACTGGGCACAGGTGTCAGGGTTAGAGTGATTCTTGTTAACATTCCCTTCATACCTTGCAGATCAAAATAAATGAGGAGCTTCGACTGACGTAACTGGAGATGCCAAAATGGAAGGAGATCCCCCCCCCTTAAGAATGCCATGTGCCACATGGACGGACGTCTGTGCCAGCGAGAGATCCTCCCACTCCACTAACCTCTGACCAAATTGATCAATACGAAATACTCGGCTAAATCTTTTATTTATATATCAAATACATTTCAGAGCATGAAACCCTAACCCTGCGCACTAGGCTGTCTTCAGTTACTGTAATGTGGTTTTATTTTCCAATAATCAGGTTGGGCACTTTTGTAAGACTCGTGTTTTAGCAATATATTTCATGACATTTAATGAAAAATATGCCTTTCTCCTGCACAGTGATCAATAGCTGCAGATTCTATAAGTGTTTTGTAGGATTTTTGTTTTGGGGGCAGTGTGTGGCTCCGCGGGTTAGGGCTGTGTGTCCTGGACCGGAAGGCATCACCAATGGACCCTCAAAGGCTCCTGACCCCAATAGCTCAGAGAACATCATCTCTGTCTGACCCTGCTCCCTGAACAAAAGCATCTGCCAAATAAGTACCAAATGTAATGCTTAAAGTTTCCTGAGGTACTGTCTGTCATATTCAGTTACCTCTATACAAACCCCATATTAACAGTTCTGTTGTGCATTTGCTGAATAAATCCTACCAAAAGCCATGAGCTGTGAGGAGCCGTAGGCAGAATGAAGAACGTGCTGGTCTGCTGCAGCATTCTGTGACTTAATGCTCATTTCAGGTTGGCTGTTGCTGGTTTGTTCCACTCTGCTACTCCTCGGAGCTTTACAAAGCTCCACCAGTAGGAGGCAATCTTGGCTTTGGGCTAAATCTGCATTCCAGTTCATCCCAAAGATGATGTGCAAGGCTCATGTTGGATCTCTGTGCTTCCAAAGCTAATTTCTACAAATAAATGCATATTTTATAGTTAAAGCAATTTTGCTGCATTCAGAGGGTTGTCTCATGACTTTTGGTAGACAGCATTCAAGATCTTAGTTCAACTCTCCTTATCTACATTATACCCCATTCTTTATACATGGTATTTATATACCTACTGAGGTTTGGGTCGTCATCACATACATTTTTTCCAGATGCATCTTTATGCACTGTTCTAAAACGGAACTTCAGTTTTTTGCTATGCTCTGAATAAACCATGAATAAGGATGATAAATGACATCAATTCCATCATGAGACTGGATGGACCTTACATAGAAATCATATTCATTACATCCAGTTTTGTACAGTAGATTTGTAAGTGTCTCAGTAGACTTCTGGATAGGTAGCTATGGAAGATTATATAGTACAGGTACCATTTTTATACCAGATACTGGTATTCCATGCGTTCTGTGACATTTGAAACAGTGCCTTTCATCTCTACTTGCTTTGTGTTATACTTCAGAGGTCAGAGGGAATTAATCCCCTTTAATATATTTAACATACCTAAGTTTGTGTTTCAAAAGTGACTTTTGGGCAGATGGAGATGCAGATGGAGATGTGCAGCACTGGAATTTACTTTGCTGTCAACAATAATAGAAGTCAGTGAAGTGATAGTGAAGTGATCCCAGAGCACGAGGAATCAATTGTGTGTCCAGATAAAATATGAGAAATAAATCTCGTTGCAATCCCATTCAATAGCATGGCCTCTGTGATTCAGAGGCTTCGTTGGAGCGCCATCTGCTGGTTCATCTGCTGTCTTTGTCATTCAGGTTTAACCAGAGCTAAGACAGGCTTTACCTGACATATGCAGGAAATAAAAATGACAAAAGACGCTTACGCTACACTGAGAAGAGACAGAGAGAAATGGCGAGTGTAGCTTTCTAATCTGTGGTCAGTGAGCATAGTTTTTTATTCCATTGCAGTAACATAGACAATGAGCGGGACGTAGAATATGTTTCATTTAGGCATAGAGTTTGTACAACTGTTTTTGATGTAAGTAAAGTATTATCAGGTACATGCATGGACTTGTTTTTGTGATTTTTTGTGTAAATGTGTTTTCTAAGAGCTTGCCCATCTTGAGAGTGTGGAAGTGTACACAAGGCACACATTTCATCCATCCATCCATCCATCCATCCTTGCACCACTAATCCAGTACAGGGTCTTGAGGACATGCTAACATTTTCTTCTAAACTTCTGTGCCATTGAGCGCACAAGACCCCAAGCAGAACATGAACAGAGATCATTCATTCTCATGTAAAAGATCCACTTCTTAGGGCTTCTTGCAGGAAGTCCAGTAGGCAGGTGTGGCTTTTAGCAAATGTCTGTTTTTTGTTTTTAAGTCTTGAAACCACAAATGACTTCACCCACTATCTTCTTTATAACTGCCAAGCCAATACGAAACGCAATAAATATTTTCTTTTCTTTTTGATAAACCATTTCCAGTTGTGTGTGACTGGTTTACTCTGTTGTTTTGACTTCTGTAGGACTTTAGACATTATTGCACATTTAATTTTTACCTTGTGTAAAAAAAAAATCACATTCATACAAACACAGATTCCTTTCTTGTTGTACCATGTAAAAATTTGTCTAACAGGAGATTTCTTGTCAGTTATTAATAAAATTGTACATTGGAGCAGCTCATAAGTGTTTCGAATTTTATATTCTGTTATTGTTTTTATAATGTCTGCCACATTCATTTAACTCACAGCGCATTATTCTTTCTGTCCTGGTTTCGAAAAAGCACATCCCCACACCTGCAACAAGTTTAAAATAGGTTACTGCTTCAACCCATCCAACCAACAAGTGCAGAGGAATCTGACTTTATGAGATATAGATCAATGACACAGACTAACCTGGTCCTGGAATCACAAATGATCACTGTTTTTATGAGAACATATTTTTTATTAATCACGTACATGCAGAGTTAAAAAGCTGTCATTTTCAGTTCATTGTCAAGAACTAAAGTGCTGGTTGCAAAGTTCAGATTGCTTGTCAATCAAACCACATACTAACAAATCGTTTATATGCGCTGCCGCTTGTGCAATAAAACTTTTATAATTGCCCAGGCCACCTTTATTTATTCATTACAGAAAAACACAGCACACCTGTTATCATGAGCAAAATAAATGGGGTTCTAAGCAAACATAGGAACACTGTGCCCTAAATTTCCAGGCAGATGTGTGATGCTTGCCCTGCCAGGTTTGGGCCCAGAATGCTGAGTGTTCAGAACACAGGTGGAACGTTGTCACCAAGAACAAGCGCGGGGATCAGTCATTAACTGATCAATAGCTACAAATTAGTGTGTGTATAAGCCCCTATAAAGCATGACAAAGAAAATATAATGTGTATTTTAATAACATTCACATTTTTAAAATATCAACTTATACTGGTACCAGAATTTTAAACCTGAATCATTCTTTCCCCGAGTTTCAGCACAATCCTCCAATTAAAAAAAATATATCTGTTCAAATGCAGAAGTTTTAGACCACCTACTCGTGTAGACTGGTTTGTAGTTATAGATGAGGGCCTGCGATTCGTCTTTGGCATTTGCAAATCGATGAAAGTTCTTTCTGGCTGAAAATGACAAATTATTCATGTCAGAGTACAACTGAGTGGAATATACAGGTAAGAGAGAAAATAGATTCCAAAGCAATCCATGTTATCACGACTAGACAACTTAGCTCTATGGTATGAAGATACTGAGACAGATCTACAGCGATTCCAGGGACTGCACCCTCTTACATTCCAGGAGGTTTATCCACTGCACCTTACATACTGCCTTTCCTCATTTTTTTTTCATCCTCCCTGTGCATGCAACCTTAACTGTAAACCTGCGAACGATTTCCTCCCCTCCATTAAACTTACCTTCGTTCACAAAAAAGTCAGCCATGAAAAAGGCTGCCTTCACGGCCGAAGGCGAGTGCGGGATGTAAGGTCTCGTCCACTCGAAGGCGTTCTTCTCGGGATGCCACTGAGTCCCGTAAATCGGGTAATCCTTTGCTGCAGTGGAAGCACCGCGCATCAGGCATCAAGGGAGGCATTCTTAACAGCTGAAGATCGCTAACACAGCCAGTCCACTGCTGACTCTTGCAGTATGATGACTTTTTTACACCTCAAAATAAGAAAAGTCACAATGTATCCTATTTCAATATGCGCATATAATGTACAACATTGGCCTAGGGAGGGATTTTTAATATTGACGTGATTTTCAGCCATGGGGGAGGGATAGTGGACTATGGTTAGTTCCCCAAAGCTTGCCATTAATGCCATGTGGAACTTTGGTGTTCTGGCTGTTCAATTATGGCAAAAATCATAAAAAAGGATTATTTTGGTCAATAATCATGATTATTTAACATGATCACTAATTGACTAGATCATGCATCAAATGAACTAGACTAACAGTGGATTTCCTTGAACTCTAGATATAATTCAACTGAAAAACAAATAAGAAGGGACTGGAAAAGGGTGGCGCTGGATTTATAACACAAGATAAAAACAGGAGCATCATTGCAAAATACAATGCAGCACAATAATCGTTTTATTGCAATTATTTTGTTTTGACTGACATGTAAGCCAAAAATGTAACAAATTAAAATTCGATTAACTGTTAGTTCAGGCAGTATAGCACAGACAGGGGCACTGGAAGGGCAGGGGGCAGGGGGGATGTGTACCCTGTGATACTAAATTGACTTCATTCACCCCATCCCCTCAATAAACAGATTTTTATATAAAAAAATTTAAGTTGTGTCCCTATAATTTCAAACTCTTTCCTATACTGGAGAACACCCTCAAAGCCTGGATTTCCATGCTCTCTACACTTAGTTTCACTCTGATCAAAATGAAACTTAGACGGAACATGCAATATATAGCACTCCGTACTCTTACAAATTAACCAAATATAAAACATCAAGTTAGAGGAAAAAAAGACAGCTCACCCTCTATGGTCGACACAAACTCCACTTTCCCGTCATTATTAGTGCTCAAAACACTGTAGAAGTTCTTCAGTGATTTACTCCTGTTGAAAGTCTACAACAGATTGTGGACCAAACCTTTTAGTCTTCAGAAAAAAAGGTATGAAATTTGCACAATCCACACCCCAGCCCCATCATCCACTTAGGTGCATAGTCTACAACAGATCCAACTTCAGAGCTTGTTCTCAGGTGGTTCTATTAGCAATGAATGCTTTCCTGAAACCCTAACAGTAGCTCCAGCATTTTGTAAAGAACATATCGTAGGTCTGTCACTCTACAGCAAAACCTGAAAGTATCGTGTAAATTACTGTACCTTAAGAGTCAGACTCCATTTATGAGAATTTTCGGTTATGGGTTCTGTGGAAAAAGCACGGAGGACATCCTCTGGAAAGTTCTTGAACAGCCTGCTCAGTGTGGCCTCTGAGACGACATGCAAGCAAGGACACCATTTCTTTCATAAACACAAGTCTAATTTTTGAGGTACTTTGCCTGCTTGTCGGTGTGCTGGCTTTCAGTGACACAAACCTTTGGTGAAATTCAAAGGAAGTGCAACAGCAGTCGTGTTGGTTGAAGACAGGCACCACTTCCCAAAGGTCAGATACACCAGCTCCTCAAACCCTAAACACGTTCCCCAAACTGGGAAATAGTCACCTTTGGAATTTGCCTGGAAAATTTAAACATTCATATAATTTTGTGGCTTAATGAGAAAGTGTGATTATATAAACCAGTACTAATATAAGAAAAAAACAAACCTTTATAGCAAGATCATAGAATACTTTTGCAGCTTTGGCGTACCCTGAAGCATTGAGGCTGACTGCACCTCCAGGAAATAGTACTCTATAGGGAAAAAGGATCAGCATCATTTTTGCAACAACTTGCCCTCTCATCCTTCTATGTGGGTACATACTGTATAAGCTCATTACATGCATTTTGGACATAAGTACAGTACCCCAGGATTATTTACAACTAAGAAGATATTCTACCATAAATCATCCTACATATATTCTACAATGTTCCATAGACACCTTGAATGCACATACATTTTGAAATAAGAGACCTCTGATGGCCATTTTGAACATGCATTAGGTCATTTTGAGAGATGAGAAATACCCATGCAGAACATCTCACCATCTACCTATATGTACAACTGCCATTGTGTTTTGGTCACATGACCACAAAGCCACCAGGGGTTTTAACGAAGATGAAAATGCAGGATCTCACAGCCCCAGAATTCCCGGTGAGCATTCTAATTTCACAGCAGACATACCCATTGATGGAGTTAAAAAGGGTTTCATATTCCTCCTTTGTCTGATTTAGCCTGTAGCAAAGAAAAAACAAAGCAGGCAGGTTTCATCCTCTGAATAACGTTATAAATCACCAGGTAGATCTTTGTAAAATCACAAATTAACACATCAAGCCTGAACGTTATACAGCAAGTGATTACAGACAGTAATTACTTTACTATTAAGGAATATATAAGCAATGTTTACTTCACAGGTACGACTCTTGCACCAGCCGACTCCAGAAATTTTACATATGATGCAGCGATATACGAAAGTCGGGAAGGCCTGGGTTTGGCGTATTCCTGGGCCAAGATACCTGAACAGATGGAAACGTCATGTAAACGTCACTCAGCAACCAGCGGCGATGTTTATCACCACTCAAACCGTACATTCGCGTGGGGGTCCCCCTGCTGGCCAGAAACTCACTGCATTAAATATTAAATAAAAGCGTTCCTTTTTTTAGGAGATGTTGAAGCAGATAGCTAACTACGATATTCTGACTCCACTGGCTAGATATTTATTTAGTTTTTGAAACAACAGAGAGGAGCCCAGAAACAACAAAGCCAGCCATGACGATAACCACTGACACAACTTCGCCTCTGCTTGCTAGCGTGATAAGGAGCTCTTATAAAATCTGAGACATACCCACTATTGGCCTGTCATTCCTCTCTTGTGAGGATAGGTCTGCAGAAAATGCAAAGCCGATGAAAGACAATAGAAGCCCCAAGCTGTATATTTTCATGGTGCTCAATCCTATTTCCGGATTCATAGCGCCACGTCATTCCAAAGCGCCGACATCCTATTGATGGGTTCTCGGCAGCCCCGAAATCCTATAGGTTAGCTTTACCGCGTCACGTGATGTATATTGATAAACTCCAAGCATGCGCCTGATTGATGAATTAAGCCGAAACGAGCGCTGCACTTGACAGCTGGACGGGTGCAGAGAGGCAGCACACTGGACTGATAACAACCTACAAATTGTCACATCAACAACATGTTTACGTAACGAAACCTGGATTTCCCGGATTTTCTACACCCGTGAAACAAAGCTATGTAACGCTAATTCAGCTGCAGATATACTGTACTGGACACAATGGCGTACATATGGGTATGGTTTACTGGGACGGGAGGTCCTAACAGTGTTGGAACCCAACCTACGTCCTAGGCTGGCCCAAACATAAATTGCATACCCGACTATGAACTTTATCATAACAGGTTTCATATGTTATTTCAGTTTACCAGATATATAGTTAGCTGTGCTTTCAACTTATTTACGAGAAATTCTGTTGCAAAATTTCCTATTGGGTTATACTGGATTTGATTTAGTCTCCCTCTGCTGGCTATTATAACGCAGCATATTTTTTTATGGATAGTCACACCGTAACTGAATAACTGCTATAAATTACATGCTGCAAGTACTTGTAACATTACAAATATACATAAATTTAAAAAACGAATGTATGTTCACACACACACACACACACTCACAAACTAAGCATTTTCATGTGATTTTGTATATAAAGGGTCAGTTAATGCAAGCAATGAGCTGCTTAGCATGGAGGATTAGCTTGGATCCCTTGAGTGCAGCATGATAGATTGCATCTTTTGCCTGGTTGTAACAAGACTTGATTAGAACTGGCAACTATCTAACATATTTTGATGGAAAATGAAAGAGCATCTCTTCATATTATTTTACAGGTTTATTTTCATCTGCAGGGGTGGTGCAGTGGTTAGCACTGTTGCCTCACACCTCTGGGACCAGTGTTCAAGTCTCCACCTGGGTTCCATGTGTGTGGAGTTTGCATATTTTCCCCATGTCGTTGTGGGGTTTCCTCCAGGTACTCTGGTTTCCCCCCACAGTCCAAAGATATGCTGAGGCTAATTGGGGTTACTAAAATTGCCCATAGGTGTGCATGTGTGAGTGAATGTGCCCTGTGATGGGCTGGCCCCCCATCCTGGGTTGTTCCCCACCTCGTACCTGTAGCTTCCAGGATAGGCTCCAGAACCCCCATGACCCAGTAGGACAAGTGGTTTGGAAAATGGATGGATGGATTTTCATCTGCCTGACTTGAATTAGATTTATTATGCCCCATTTTTACTGGAAGGTTAGGTACATTTTCATTTTCGCTCTAAACTTAATATTTGGTTTAAAATGTCTTTTATCTCCTGGTTGTAAAATCGGTTAGGTTGGGAGGTGGGGCATTTGTAATGTTTTCTGGGAGAAAAAAAAACAGGAACAAGAACGTCTTACACTATCCTTCCATTTGAAGTACCCGACAGGGTCACAGTTTGCTACACAGTTTGTCCCTGGAACTCAGGCCATAACTGAGCTACATATGCTGAGATGATCTGCACATAATTAAAAACGTACTCTACTCATATGATTTTATATCGTATGAATCATTTATATAGACTGAGCAAACAAGCCTAGAATATATAATTAACTGAACACGCAAAACGTGTAATATGCCCAGGAAAATAACTACCTGTATTTGAGTCTAAAGACATATTTTCGGAGAATGAATTTGTTGTGTGACGCTGCAGTTAACATTTAACATGTAACTTTTAATTTAAATAGATTACGGAAATATATATTCAGTTAAAAAAAATCTTTTTAAAAATATCAACGTTAACTCTTTAGGGAAATATAACGTAATGATACTGTGTCCTGTTTTATATTATTTTATACACATATTGAAATGTACTTCAGTAATTTTGCCTTCTGTATTATAAAGCGACCTTATGTGTTTTGTATTACAAATCTAAGTGTACTGACGTTACTTTTGTTGATTCCCGGTTAATTTGGTGGCTGCAGGACTGCTACTAATGACTTTTTTTTTGTCTTTCTATTCGCTGTCGCTGAACTTCCCTCCGGGGATGAATTGAGTATATATCTATCTATTAAGCGTGTCCCATTTCATAATTGAACGACGGGTGGTTCGCTGCGCCGTCGAGAAAGACGGTCGCCCATTGGACGAGTGTTTACTGACGTCATGGGCGGAAGGTCACGGAGCCGCGTACCGGAAGTGAGAGCAGAGTCGTTCCGCCATTGTAGGATCTAGGCAGAGTCAGGGCTCTTTTAGTCAGACATTACTGGCGCTTACGCGCAGCGAGGGCCACCGAGGAAAACGAGGCGACCTCGCCGTATCGTGTATCTGTAGTACACCGCAAGCCTGTCGCTTTAAATCCTCGCCCGTACGGGGTTCTGGGAGCGCAGGAGAGGAGAGCCCGAGCAGCCGAGACGCAGAGGGATCCCGCAGGCGGCCGCAAGCAGCAGAGACCGTGGACCATCGTGACCAGTCCGCCAGCCGCGCTCCCCAGAGGATGTCCGCGACTACCGTAGACCAGGTAGCACTGTCTTCGTTGCCGAGCCGGCCCGGTCTCCGGCCCCTGGGCTCTCGTGCGTCCTGGGCGCAGTGCGGTAGGCCGTGCGCTGTAATGGAGGTGCGGGAGGCCCCGGAGCACAGAGCCGGGGGTGGCGAAGTGGGCAGAGGGCGCCTTACGTGTGAAGGGAGAGCTTCCTCAGGGGGCGGGCAAGGGCCACACGTCTGGGTGGGAAGGAAGGAATGGGTACGAGGGGCCATGTCTGTGAAGGGAGTGTGTCCTTAAGGGAGGCCCGGAGCCAGGGGGTGGAAGTGTACAGACTGCCCTGCTTTCTGACTGTCAGCACGATGTACTCTGACCATTTTCTCTGACCCTCATCCCCCTCCCCTTCTCTCTGTTCACATTTATGGGATGCCAGAGACCCAAAGGACAAGGAAATAAAGGTGAGTAACGTCACCCTAATTAAGTACTTAGTAAGATACTGTCTGCCTAGTTTGTCAGCTGCCTTCTGTGTCCAGTATTTATTTTTGTTTTTTTAGCATGTTTCAAGTTCTGTGTATGTTTCCGTTTCGGAAGCCTGTCCTAGGCTGGTGCAGTGTTATCTTTGTTTTGGAAGCTTGTCCTAGCCAGGTTCTATGTTTGTCTCAGTTTTGGAACCCTGTCCCTGCCGGGTTCGGTGATCGTGTTCATTTTGGAAGCCCGCCTCTTTCACCCGCCCGAGTACCCATTTTTATATGTCGTTTCTGAACCCAATGCTTCCGGGCTGTGTTAGGCTGACAGCTCAGACTTTCAGCCCACTTTGCCAATGTTGTCACTTAAATAACATGAAGTTAAATCAGACAGTGTGCATTTTGTTGCATGGTGTTATGTTTTTCTCCCACGTGCAGTCCTCCATCAGTCCACCGTGTTGGATCGGTTTTTTAGTGGGCTCCTGAAGCGGAAATCTTACCAGCGTTTATAGGTCCTGTATTTGAGTAGATTTGTTTCTAGGCACAGTGTAAACATGGTTGAGTATCGTTATAATGTAAGGGCACAATAGCAACGAAAGCTACTTTCGCTCAACATTTGGGCTCATTTGTTGATAAACTACTACAGGGTGCAAATAACAGTGTTATTGAGTTTAAACTGAGAGGTGATAGAAGAGAGCCATTTTATCTCCTTTGGCCTTCTTGAATAATTGAATAATTTACTTAAAACTGTATTATTTGCATTATTAATTTTACCACATTAAAGTGGTCTGCGGTAACAGTCAAGTCAAATTAGTAATGCATCTTGATATGGCTTAGGTTTTCCTGGTTATGATAAAACAACTAAGCGATGAAATGAACTTTATGTATCATTATATGAGAACTAAAAACGACTTGTGAAACTTGGGCCAAAATTGCAAGCACCTGTTTGAATGTAGTCGGCAGAAAGTGGGGGACCTTGTCTTGTTTTATGTCCTTTTTGGTTTGGAAAATAGCAGCTGTGGACTGGGCTGCAGTGGCCGAGTGATTTGTTTTTTTTGGTCCTGGGGGTGTTAGTTATGCTCTGCAATGTTCATGATGCTTTGCTAAGATTCCTGGCATTTGAAAGCTCGCGCACTTGGTTGTTTTTGTTGGATAGGGAGAAAAAGAACAGCTTCAAGTAACTAAATCAGATTGAGGAGAATTGCTATAGTCATTTCAATTTACACCTGACATTTCACCTGAACTGTGATATTGCATTAATTGTTGGCAAACTGCTAATATCTTTTCTGGATAAAATCAACAGCTTCTGTTGGAGACGTCTGTTGTGATTTGTATGGGAAAATTTATTAATCAGAATGCTTAGCAAAATCATATATCTGATTAAAGACAGAATCTGCAGCATTTATTCACAAGTATTGTACATCGCATTGTAAGTATCAAATCATGAAAGGTGAATTTGTGCTGATTTATGTAGTCTAAATCAAAATCTTAATGTTCTATAATCTAAAATTTAGGCTCTTGTGCTTCTGTGGTTCAGATTCTTATGCATTTTATATTGATCTGTTTGTATTGATTTTTTTAAAACATAAAATTTTCTCTCCTCGTGTTTTAGTTCAGAACGGTTCGATGCATCAGAAAGACGCTGTAAACGATGACGACTTTGAGCCTTACCTGAGCGGTCAGACGAATCAGGTGAATCGATCGCCCTGAGCATCTCACATTTGCATTGTATCTTGTTTTTTTTTTTTTTTTTTACGTAATACTGGGACGTCTCCCCCCTTCCGTATGCATGATTGAATCCCCAGTCATTCCTCTCAGTTGGTAATTGCATGATGAGGCGGCTTCCCTACCTATCCATGAAGCTGCAGCGCTGCAGGATGTTTAATGTGCTCCTTGCTTTTGTTACCCCAATTTGTAACACCGGGATTAATGCTCATCCTTCCTTTGAGGTGTGATGTGCTGTTTATAACTAATCGGGTTCAACCAGCTATAGGGGTGTAGTGTTTAGGCGTGACACTGAACTGACAACCACCCCCCCAACAGAGTAACAGCTACCCCCCGATGTCAGACCCCTACATGCCCAGCTATTATGCTCCATCCATCGGGTTCCCCTACTCCCTGGGTGAAGCTGCCTGGTCCACTGCTGGGGACCCCCCAATGCCCTACTTGACCACCTATGGACAGATGAGCAATGGCGAGCACCACTTCATCCCGGACGGCGTGTTCGGCCAGCCGGGGGCCTTGGGCAACACGCCCCCCTTCCTCAGCCAGCACGGCTTTAACTTCTTCCCCGGCAACGCGGACTTCTCCACCTGGGGCACAAGCGGCTCGCAGGGACAGTCGACGCAGAGCTCGGCCTACAGCTCCAGCTACGGCTACGCGCCCAGCTCCCTGGGCCGGGCCATCGCCGACGGGCAGGCCGGCTTCGGCAGCGACACGCAGCTGAGCAAGGTGCCGGGCCTGGGCACCATCGAGCAGGGCATGGCGGGCCTCAAGCTGGGCTCTGACATGGCCGCCGTCACCAAGACCGTGGGCTCGCCGCTGGGCGGGGCCGCTGGCATGAGCAGCATGGCCGCCAGCAGCGTGCCTCCTGTCAGCTCCTCGGCTCCCAAGCCCACCTCGTGGGCGGCCATTGCCCGCAAGCCCGCCAAGCCCCAGCCCAAGCTGAAGCCCAAGGCCAACGTGGGTGGGGTTGGCGCTGCCATCCCCCCGCCCCCCATCAAACATAACATGAACATTGGCACTTGGGACGACAAGGGGCCCATTGCCAAACCGCCCCTGGCGCAGCAGATGATGCCCCCCCAGACCCTGGTGCAGCAGGCGCTGCTGCCCCCTACTCAGCCGCTGATGCCCAGCCCGCTGCCCCCGCAGGCCGCGCACCAGCACCAGCACCAGCCCCTGCAAATGCCGCTGCACTCCACCCAAGGACCTCCGCAGCTGCCCCCAGGGCCCCCTCACCCCCACCAGCAGCACCCCGCACCCCCTGGCCCGCCCCAGACCCTCCCACAACCTCCACAGCAGCAGCAACACCAGCAGCAGCCTGCACCTCCCCAGAACCGGTGGGTGGCGCCTCGTAACCGTGGCGCCAGCTTCAACCAGGGTGGCGGACCGGAGAGCTTTGGTCTTGGAGGGGGCATTCCCCTGAGCGTGCCCCCGGCCTCTGCCGAGGTCCACCCCATGCTGGAGAACCTCAAGGCCCTCAACAACTACAATCCCAAAGACTTCGACTGGAGCTTGAAAAACGGTCGCGTGTTCATCATCAAGAGCTACTCGGAGGATGACATCCACCGTTCCATCAAGTACTCCATCTGGTGCAGCACGGAGCACGGCAACAAGCGTCTGGACGCCGCCTACCGCTCACTGGGCGCCAAGGGGCCGCTCTACCTACTCTTCAGCGTCAATGGCAGTGGACACTTCTGCGGCGTGGCCGAGATGAAGTCGCCGGTGGATTACAACGCATACGCTGGAGTTTGGTCTCAGGACAAGTGGAAGGGCAAGTTCGAGGTGAAGTGGGTCTTTGTCAAGGACGTGCCCAACAACCAGCTGCGGCACATCCGCTTGGAGAACAATGACAACAAACCTGTCACCAACTCCAGGGACACTCAGGAAGTCCCGCTAGAAAAGGCGAAGCAAGTGCTTAAAATCATTGCAACGTTCAAGCATACCACCTCAATCTTTGATGACTTTGCACATTACGAGAAGCGCCAGGAAGAGGAAGAGGCCATGCGTAGGGTAAGACCCGCCTAACATCTCTCCCGATTCCGGAGTCCGTGCTCTGCTCATTTGCCGGGGTTGGGTGCTTCTGGTCTGCAGCTGGATTGCAGCCCTGTTGTGAGTCAGGATCTTTTTTACTTTGGTTTCTCCATCCATACATCTTCCATGTGGGAACATGTGGAGCTATTGAAGCAGCTCCCTGTCTGTCTGAGCGGGGAGGAGGCGATAGGGAGACAGCAGACCGCTACAAGAACTGTTTTAGGCAACTGATCTTGGTAACACCTCTGCTAGTGATGCACCGATGTGGAACCATAGCCGGCTGACTGATGAGCTCCACAAATCTGTAGTGGAACTGATGTCGGTGATGTTACTACTTAAGATCCTGTAAATGTGTGCAGTAACCACATCATATAATGCAGGCAGCGAGACAACAGCGAAGTAGTGCAGCCTTGGGAGACTGTAGCGAGGTTCTAAGTGCTGAATGAACCGACGCAATCCCTTATCCTCCACTATGGAAAATGGGCGCTATTCATTATTTTATCTTTATTTCTGGTACTACTAACTTTGAATGTTAACTAAAGCTGAAATATCACCAGGCAGTATAGCCCAAGATCAACACATTGGATCGATGCCGATGTCTTGAGTTTTTTTTTATGCACGTCGGCCAAACTGATACGTTGCGCATCTCTTGGTGATACCTTTGCAATGCTGTGGAAATGTTTGACCTTACTTTGGCCTCTGTTGTGGTTGAGTTCATGTCATCCTGGTTCAGAACCACACCGCTGCATAGCCGCATCACCTCTGCAGACTCCACCGTACTGAATGGACCCTCATCGGTGTTTTGGCATTTGCTGTTGCACTGAGAATCTTCTTCCTCCTTGACACCAGATGTTTCTTTCCCATTTGCATGTCCAGACGTTGCCTATTATAAAAGGCTTTTCTGGTATTTTAGCTGAAATTGAACAGTGTTGGCCGGTTGCATCCGCTGATGAAGTTCATCAGCTGCTTTTCGCTTCTTATCTCTCTTCTAGGATGAAAGCTTCCCCTTTGCCATGACTCCACACTCGCGTGTTGAAATTTATCTGCACTCTCGCATAATTTGTTTTTCTTCCCCAAACCATGATTTTTATGTCATGTAGTTGGTTATTTTCTGTTTTTGCAATCATTATCAGAACTTAAACAGCCAGCTTATTCTGTGCTGGTGTAGGGTGGCTTCAGCGGGGCAGAAGAACCTAGAAAGTGGTCTGTGTTTGGAGGGTAGGGTAGGACCCTCCAGGTGGTCTTTGAGGGGTTGTGTGAGGTCTGATCGCAGTGCAGCTGTCTGGGACTTGGCCCAGATTTCACCATGACTTGAAGAGTGTTGTTGGGTTGTGGTTTGGGTTATATAAGTAACAGGTGCCCCTGATGTCTGTAAGCCAGCTGTGCGCCTCTGCTGTCCTCGAGTCCGTACTGCTACCCTGCAGGGCTGCGAAGAATCCTCCTTGTTTGGGTCACCTTCTCTCTCCATTAATTGTACCAATTACTCACTCTAATTATCTGCTAAGTGTCTGCTTTGCAGGCTGTATCCATCTGTTTCTTGCAGCTGTCTGTCTCATTTTCGCAGATGTCACTTATAACGTCTTTTGAGCTGTAGACCCCCCCCCCCATATCTCTAATGCTGAATTTGTGTTGGAACTTGGCAGACTGGATAAATGGCTTGAAGTTTGGGCCCCTATTAGGGGAGGCTGACTCTGATGCAATAACACATTTGGTGCTTGTAGCGCCAGAAATAACTGCACAGTGCATCTTTGCTAAAGTAAATCAAACAATTTCACAAAATTTCATTTTGGTGTTTTTGTATTATGTCTATACAGAGATTATCATGTACCCATCTGATTTTAAATCCTTTAAGTGGTTTGAAAAATAGGATGCAAATATTAATCTCAGAGAAAACTCTTCTTCTTTATTTTGGCATTTTTACATAGCATAACCGTGTGTGGATTGGGATGCTGTGTCTGATCAGTAGGTCAGAGGTTCAAATCCCCGAGTCGGCAGAGTGATTTCAATGTTGGGCCCCTGAGCGAGGCCCTTAACCCCCAGTTGCTCCAGGGATTTACTGACCTTGCTTTCTGTTATGAGTTGCTTTGGATGTAAGCAATCTGACTGTAAATTTTAAGAAAGCGGCAAGTCAGTCTCACTGCAGCTTGATGATTTTACCAGGACACACCCCCTTGTTATCAGACCTAATAGCAGGTCTGGGTTCATGGTGCAGGATGTATGTGTTAAAATGTACTTGGCTTTCCGCACTGGTCTTTGACAGTGAGTGGGTAGTGAACACTTGTGTCTTCACCCCTGAGTCAGCGTTAGGCAGCCTGGTGATGTGAGAATCACTCGTCGTCTCCTTGGGTTCCTGCAGGTTTCGTGCAGGAGGTGGTGTCCGTCCTGTGTTGCTTATTTTTGAATGTAGCCGGGTTCCATTTGTGGAGTGTCTGGGTGGGATGGTGCTGTGAGCGGGAATACAGGCAGTCTGCATCCTAAGGGCCGGAATGGAGGAAGTACGACTGCCTGGAATCCATGTCGTTGACTCCAGTAAAACCACAAGGACACAACCTTTAGAAACGTGGGTTTGTGCTGATTTTAGCTGCTGATCTTCTTGCTGAAGATGCAGAGTACAGACTTGCTGTAATTGAGCCCAAAATGTGGCAGAACACACTAACTTAAAGTATGTCATTCATTTTGGTGAGTTTGCTCAGATGCTCAGTGTGTGTGGATGAGCGTCCCTCAGGAATGCGGCCCGCCTCTGTGACGAGTGCATTATGAGGGCGGTGAGGCTCAGCAGTCTGGAGTTTCTTTTGTACGTTTATGGGCCTTTTATGTGCCTTTTATTTCTGATGGGCAGTACAGGCAACTCTTGTCTTGACTTAAATCTGGAAAAAAAATATCAGATGCACAGAGTTTACGGAAGCGCCAATGGAAAGGTGGCATTCGCCTGTAAGTAAATTTACACTCGATCTTCTCATTTATTTAACGTGTATTTTAATACATATTACGAATACATTTTTGGTTTGTTTTTTGCTTTTAAGGTGTCTTGAATGGTATGGGAAGGTAAATCTGATTTGTGAAAATTCTGCACTTGCATAAGACTTGGTGGAACAGATTACTTATGTCAGCCTGTATTTCAAGATTGTCTGCGGGTCAAACGGATGATGGACATGTAAGTGTAGGGAGCAACCAAATCCCCAGATGTTCAGGAGGTTCCTCAGCATCTCGTCTGGTTGGGCCTACTCAATAGACAGCTTGTGCTTCTGTAGCTGAACATGGTTTGCCTTTTTCCTGTTTCCTGGAGCCACCTTTACAGCCTTGTAATGTATTGGTGCAGAGGTTATTAATGAAGAGTGATCTGGTCAAGGCGATTGACAATGAACTGGGCACTGAAGCTAAAATTAAAGTGTTGCTGACTGTTAAGAATGGGAAATATGCTTTTTTTATTAGTCAGTACATTGTCCTGTTTGTGAAGTATTTAGATTCCCTCCTAGGCATCTCTGAAGGCTTGTTTTGACCCTATGTAGTAATTGTGACTTTTTGAACTTGCGCTTTCATTTTCACAAAACATACCAAGCTTAAGGACCTTCTACTTTATGAAATGTTTGGAATGTCCTTTATTACATTTTAAAGCAGCAGTTTCTGAGACTGTGTCGTCGAGCTAAAACCAGTCTTTTGGGTCATTAGCTGTAATGAAGAGAAGAATGAAAGAGGCTGATGTCGATGAATAGGGTTAATGCTGATTCATCCTGGAGGGTGACCCCAGAGAACGGTGAAGGTGTTCATTTTCTCCTCAGATCCGAGATTCTGAAGCCCCTGCAGATGCTGGGCTCACTGGTGACAGAAACCCAGGAAGAACCTCAAAACAAGTCCTGTGTTTCACATGACAAGAAAATTGTGCTGTTAGCCTGGGGGATAATGTGCTGCGCTTATCTTAATGCCCCTGCAATTTGCTGTAATTAATACATTTCACTGTGAACACGGTGCCTCTGCCTGATTCAGCCTGGGATATCATCGGCTGAGTTGGGCACAGGAGCGTAACAAAGTTATTCCTTCTGAAGCGGTGTGAAAATTTTGGAGCTCTGTTTTAATGGGCCTTAATTCCCTTCTCACAGATTGCCTGAAATGGTAGAAGACTAAAATGATAGGCATCACTTTAATAGCCCAAATTATGATTCAGTATTAGTATCTGCAAGCTGTAAACTCTATACATGTAACAAGTATGAGTACAATTACTAAAGTATGACTATTAATGAGTATGAGTACTAATCCCCTATTGGCTTATGGGTAACCAGCACTGACCTGTACTGATGGTTCTTTCTCTTGCTTTACAGGAGCGGAACAGAAACAAATAGTGACCTTGTGGAGATGTCCCTGCTAGAACTGCAACACTAATTATGTAGACCCTTAAATAATTGCCTAAATTTGAGGAAGAGCTCTGAGGAGGTTTTCAGCCGATGGCGATGACTCGGAAAACAACGTGACGATGGACTCCTCCGTCAGTTTTTGGTCCATCTGCCCATATACTCCTGTCTCACAGATATTGTGAAAAGTACACAAACTATATTTAAAGCACTTTCAGTCCTTTTAAAAGCTTCTACCAATACCCTTAATTTTCTCTGGATTTTTTTTTTTGTTTATTAACTGACTAACCAGTATAGTTGGTTGTTAATGGTTCACAAGTTTTTTTTTTTTTCCCCTCTTCCCTCCACATTTTGAGTTAAATTAATTTATGTGTTTGTATACTGTATATACACACACCTAAATTAATAACAACTCCTACTTGAATCTGAATCGAGCTGCCAGATTCTCGAGCAGAATTCAGGTGAAGCAGGATGGCCTTTCTGCCGGAAGCCGGGCGGGATAGTGATGTTGTGGATGGTTACTCACTTGTTTTTGTTTTGTTACCGTAAGCTGAGTTTGCAGCACGGTGGGCGACACCAGTAAATGCACACATTAGTTTTTACTGTAATAAATGTTATAAAGAAGTTGCATTTGTCTAAATTGGAGAAATTTGTTCAGTGCTAAACAGTTACGAAATCGTCCTGAACTATGAAGGGTGACGTACCTCAGCCTAAGACGGACTTCTTCTTAAGACCTCTGTAACCGTATTTACGATAGAGCGTCCTGCTGTGGGAACTTTCCCCAAAGCAGATCAGTATCATGCAAGTGAAAGTTTTCTTCTCTAGGTGATTCACTAGCTAAATAAACATGATACTTGTTTAGCGATCTCACGTTTTGAGTTTTTAATTTTGTGCCATTTGACTCGTGTGTTTTTTTTTCTTTTCTCCTTTTCTTTCAGCATTGAACACATTTTCCCATCCGCTGCTGTATGCATGAACAATTGTGTCTTAAGAGTGGGGGAAAATGTTTGGTAGAGTTTAGCATGTTGTGCCCTCAAGGGGGCGCTCAGCTCCTGGGGTTCATTGTTCCAATGTCGGTGGCTTCCTCCGCTGTCACTGACTCGACACACATGCTCATGCCTACTTTAGCCAGCCCATACACACCACGCTTGGATGTGGTCCCATGAATGTCTGTGCCTTTAAAGCATCTGTAAGTAATATACGTCTGAGTCCCGTGACGACATCTGTTGTTGGTTTGAGACATTTCGAAAAAAATCCTGCAGGTTTTTGTTTCTGCAAATGAGGGGATGTGTAAGCACGTAGCGGATAAGTGTTGAAATCACAGCACCACGACTAAAATCTCCATGGATTCAAAATGAGCTTAAGGGTGGGTGGGGTCCCGGGTCCCGGGTCCCGGGTCCCGGGTCCCGGGTTGGTGGGACCCCTGAGCGGTACCACTGCTGTCTTGTTTTGTTTTTTGTTTTTTTTCTGGTTATGAATAAGGCCATGTTTATAAGTTACTGAAAATCAATGCATATTGATGTAATGCTGATGCAATGCTCATTCTAGTTTGATGTGATTAAAACTTATCAAAATAAAAAAATAGACTAATTTTTTTGGAAAGGTATGAGACTGCCCCCTGAAATTGCTGATTGAGTGGTTGACTAATTTGCAGCAGTGGTTCGATGAGAATCATCTTAAAGCTCTGCTGTGTGAGGGTTTGTGTCTCTGGGATGTCTTCTCTGGAAAAGTATACTGTACATCAGATGGGATCCAGTGCCACCTTCATGTTTAACTCTAGTGAACAAAACCTGTAGTTTGTCTGCTTTTGTTCGCACTGATTGATGCTTAAGGGACAGTATTTATAACTGTAAATGAAACACCCCGACATTACCTGAATATACACTCACCTAAAGAATTATTAGGAACACCATACTAATACGGTGTTTGACCCCCTTTCGCCTTCAGAACTGCCTTAATTCTA